CATTCAGGATATCTTCACAACCTCCTACAGAATCCTTCATTGCACTGGAAGAGTCAGCACCAGGAGCCATACAGGCATACTTGGGGATCAACAAAGGTTTGTTTTGAGATTTTAAGTGTTCCAAAGCCACATCCAGCAATCTCCTTAAGTTGGTTTCCCTGTCTGTCAATGATATTTTGCTTAGCAGGCTAACGGCAATTTTGTCTGCGTTGTTGAGATCCTCTACTTTGCAAAGGGAAATAAAATATCGGAGCTTCTGGACTTCTTCGTCCTCTGTCCTATCAACAAATGCTGTAAGGTCTTCCAATAAAGCTGTCAGAGGAAAGGCGGCAATTTTGGCTTTTAGGAAGTGAAAGTTGCAGAAACATTTTTCTTTGGCTAAGTTGGTTGATATCATCTCTTTTGCATTATGTACATAGTAAGGCAGACAGGACAGCATTCTCATGTTCTTGCTCACCATAGCTTGGGGTGTGATTTGCCGGTCAGCATTTTCTATGGTTGTTTTCCTCCAATCCAGCTCAACGGTTCGCTTGACTGATTGGGACATGAAGATTTCAGAGAAGTTCCTGTGAAGTTTCTGACCTGCCTTTCCCTGAGTGTACATAGCACGTCCAGCCTCTATGAACTGTCTGTGGTACCAGTTCAGTGTGTACTTGTTGTGAGTCCGCCTCTCCACAAGATATTCCTTGAGATCGTAGCGGAGACGAGCCCAGAGGACTGGAGGTATGCGTACTATGCCTTCTACAGGTGGATCATGGTAGCGGTATACATTGTTGAGAGCTTCGTCATCACAGGAGAGGACGTCTTCCATCTCTGTTTCAGACACACCATTCATGGCAATAGTGATGTAACCGAGGGCATGATTTGTAAACACCTCCCCAAACTTAGTCTCCAAGTTCTGAAATAGCTGTGATATAGCACTTCGTACTGTATCAGCCAGTACAAGTTCATGTTCCGGGGTGTAGGACTTCCACTTAATCGCCTCGTCCAATAGCAGTTTGAGATAAAGAGGTCCTGGGGTCTGAGTAAAGAAAGACATAAGTAGCTTGAGCTGGTTGTCTGTCACGGTTCGCTTCCTCTTACCTAAGTATTTATTGATTATCTCCTTGCCTGTTGTCATGGAGAGTGGGGAAACTGCGATGTAACACTGGTCATTCGGCAGTATGTCTCTCATTGTGTCAAGAATGCCGTGTTCTTCTGGCAGTGTTGACAGAATCAATTTGACGTTAGATGGCAGTGTGATGGGTAACCATGACAACGAATATGCATCATTATTGACTGTCAACTGGTCTAAAGAATCCAGAAGGATGACAATTGGAGCTTTGATGGCACTTGCAACACGCCGCAAAAATCTTGGAACATACTCCAACAAATTCTTCATGTTCTTATAGGAGACTGGTTCCATGATAATGTCGGCATGATCAGCGAGTTGTCCACACACACCAAACAAAACATTATAGATATTGGTGCTTAGAGGACTTGTACCCAGAAAACGGATGACTTTTACATGCTTCTGCTTCTTAAACCAGGATGGCAGATTTTTCATGATCATGGCCATGACTGATGTCTTTCCTGCACCAGAAGGGGCATGGAGCACAAGGGGCTTCCGTGACGTGTCATTTAGGATGTAGGACCGGACACCATTCAGAACATCGGTCTGTCCACAGAATGTCTCGCACTTGGTGTTACAGAACTGGAGGTGATGGATCAGCTCTGCATAATCAGTGTACCATTCAGACCAACGTATCTTTGGCAAGGAGTCTGTCATCCCATCCTCTATCATCACCTTCATGTCAGACAAGAAGTCGTTACAAAACCATTCGATATACTGTGCGTGATACTGGTTCGAGTTAGGGTCAACACCTCCAGAAATCCACGGAATTTCATACTCACGACAATTTGTGCTTTTTAGTTTCTTTTTTAGTTTCTTGAAAATTTCCTCCCGTAGACTTTCTGTCTCAGTATCAACTTCAAGCTGCAAATATGAATAAAGTTTTTATCACCATTCCTTACAGATAATTGATTGATATTCTCACTATTCTCCTTTGATTGCAAAAAGATATTACATATAGATTATAATGTTACCTAAACAAACAACTAATGACAATTATTTAAATAAAAGCATTCAAACAAACCTTGTCATTGTTGTTTTTGATCTCGATGTATCTCTTGACATTCTTGTCAGCCATGGACTCCTTATCCAAGCCAATTAATGATCGGGCGTAAACCATGGTGTGTGGACGTGGATCAGTCACGGTTAGTAATCCTTTCTTTATCTCCGTCTCCGTCACTGAAACATCACAAATATGCGTTTCCATATTTCATGATATTAAGCATTTTTAAACTAATCAGTTTAAAAAATATGTATTGTATGTCAGGGTTCATTTTTGATATTTAACATATCCAACCCTACCCAACTGGAAGTACTTGTGACGACTGCTAAGAAACATTTTGTCGTATTTAGACTTACCTGACTGGAAGTACTCATGGAGAGTGCTAGGGGACATTTTGCCGGCACCAGCGGCAGACTTAGCAGCTTCTCTGAGGATTAGCTGTAACTGTTCAAATGTTCGGTGCCAGTTTCCTGTGTCTTTGGCACGTGGCTCATCACATCCTGGTGAGTAGTCTCCAAAAAATTTAAACTGTGACCGGATGTTCTGTAAAGATAATGCGGACTTTCAAGCATGATTTTTTTAATGATATAGATATCAGAATCAGTGAATTCTTTGATGTTTGAGAGGGCTTTTAAAGGCTTAAGTCTTTTGTTCAGATCCATCAAACGTTTTGTACTTATAATATTCAATATTCAATATGTATAATTTAATATGAAAATAATGCAGTCACATGTCCATAGGACATATAGTGGGTTGTTGGTATATACACCTGTATATTAGGGGTATACACATCTGTAGGATATATCTGTAAGGACATACTGTTGGTATACACACCTTCAGGACAAATTATAGGTATACACACCTGTAGGACATACTGTTGTTATACACACCTGTAGGACATACTGTAGGTTAACACACATGTAGGACACACTGTAGGTATACACACCTGTAGGACATACTGTAAGTATACACACCTATAAGACATACTGTAGGTATACACACCTGCAGGACATACTGTTGTTATACACACCTATAAGACATACTGTAGGTATACACACCTGTAGGACATACTGTTGTTATACACACCTGTAGGACATACTGTTGTTATACACACCTGTAAGACGTACTGTAGTTATACACACCTGTAGGACATACTGTAGGTATACACACCTGAAGGACATACTGTTGGTATACACACCTGTAAGACATACTGTAGGTTAACACACATGTAGAACATACTGTAGGTATACACACCTGTAGGACATACTGTGGGGGTTTACTGTTGTTGTCCCTCTGGTACCAGGTCTGCAGCAGTTTTGTGTGTTCTGGGTTGGTTATGTAGCTGGTAAGTAGTGTAAAGTCCTCTGTAGATAACTCAATAGGGATAGGACGGAAACCGTATCTGGACCCTTTTATCAGCTAAAAAGAATATTGGTTGTTTAAAAGATAAAATAATAAACAAAGCACCATAAACAGTACAAATCCTCATGATATCAGGACTTGCAGTTCTGAGAAGTCATTTTTAGTTTTCAATAAATAGCTCTTCACATGAGAAAGAGGAATGACAAATATCATGATCCTTGGATTAATGGCTTGTTGGATAATCTTGGGAGTCGACAGACAAACAGGCAACAGATGCTGAATACCATGGTATGTTCATACTTCATATCAGTTCAGCTAAAAGTAGCAGGTTGACTTTGACTTTTACAGTCGCATCTTGAACTTTGAACTCATTTGATGTGTTAGCATTGACCATCAATACAAAGTTTCTTAAATATCCATTGGAAAATAGGTCAAGAGCAACTACAAAGATTTATCAAAACAAAATACCGATGATGCAAGATACAAAACAACAAATGACAAGGAATTACAATAGGTCACTTGATACTCAGGTGACCTAAAAAACAACAATGACCTTCACCTTATGCGCAGCACCACGAAACACAAAATTACTTTTGGTAATCTCAAACTTACCATGTTTATTAAGTGTCATGAAGATCAGACATATCTATTTTGGAATCGATCTCCAGAATGATGACAAGGGGCTAGTATATGACTCTATGTAATATGCCTTTCATTGCAAGGGGGAAAATATAGATACATGACGAGAGACTGGTATTATCCTTAACATGTATACTGGTAATACATAAATTATCTACCACAAAGTTGGGTCCTAAGGAGATTTTCTGGCAGTTTTCCACCTCCATCAGACATATCTTCTCTACAGAGTGGTCATTCTGACTGTCATCTGTCACTCCCCATCTCATGTCCACCATCTGAAAGTCAAGGTCATGCTCCGCACAGAATTCCCGCAACTTTGGGGTAGCCTCCCGCACTATTGCATTTCGCTCTGCTCGCATGTCTGAAAAATACAATGAAGTATCTTGTGAAATACTCTGTTTGTTGTAGCTCAGGAGAAATCAATCAATCATTTATTTCTTTCTCAGTAAACTGGAAAATAAAAATCTGGATTTTTCAGAAATAAAGTAGCTGGATCAGCGAGGTTCCTCTCTTCAATGACCTGCAGTAGTACTTGTGCATCTAGGGGCTGGTCCACCATAACCTTTCCAAGTGACTTTAACACATCCCATTATAACCCAAACCTGTACCACTGAACCTTGGTCTACGGATGCCCCTAATATTTCCACAAGAAACTTAACCTGTTGATGTTTAACTAGTCCCATAATAACCCTGGAATATAATAGGAATATCATAAAGAACTTTTATTTGGGCTATTAACAGCCTTAACCTATACACATATAGCAGCATACCATCATTGTAAGCAAGAGCATTAATAAGCACCAAGAATTAACTAACCAGAGAACGTCGAGCTGATGAAGATGCGGACAACAGATCGGGGAATGTTTGGTATGTTGTCAAGTTGACCTTCTATCATCCTTTCAAACTTTTGCTCAGCGTCTCGGTCAAAACCCTCCTTAGCTATCAATAAAAATAATCAATTTTTATCAAAACAAAGTTTGAGGTCTGCATATGTATACCCAGAGCAACTTCAAATATTAACAACTTTAATCGTTCCACAAAATTAATATTAACTCCATGGAAATCCAAAAACTCTTCCGGCGGAGATTAAGAGTGTGTTAACACTATGGTGTAAGCCGTGCTAGCTTGACTTTAGAACTAATCATTTTATTTGAACACTAGACAGAGAATTGGAAAATTTTGTTAGAATATTTTACACATAAAAGATAGCTTTATCCTGTCACCACTATTATTAATAAAACATACTATGAATTAAGAACCAACCTACCTATACTGCTACTGGCCACCTCTGCTTTAGCTGCAGCATTCCTGATAGAAACATTATCAGTAGTTGATATATTAACAGCTCACAACACAAAAATGATATATAGAGACAAACAGAAATAAAATGTTTAACCTATAAAAGAACATTTTAACATACATTTGACTCCTATGACCTTGTAATATAGCAAAGTCAACCTTTGGAAGAAATAAAGAAATGATAATTGTTTAATGAAGCAAGCTACTGGACACATAGCATCACTCTTGGACTCTATAGAAGAAAGTGCTTTATTTTTCTTGATATATCCTTTAACCCTTGAAAGCTACAGGACCTGTATCATGAATCTAGATCTTATCATTCTTAAGAAGTTTGAAGAAGATTTTACCTATATGACTTGTGAAAGTGTATTTGGGTAATAACATTTGACACATCTGACAACACTCTGCAATACCAGGCTACCAATCAAACATCATACTGAGTAAGCCACATGATTCTTTAGATTCAACCCTGTTACCTTGAAATTGTGTCAAGATCCTTCATTTAAACAAATATAAAATCCCCTTATCAAAGTAACTATAAGTCTAATATAACAACTTTAGGCTTTACAGTCCCATAGAATTTTTTTAAAGGAAAACATTGGAAAATGTAGCAGGTGAACCTGTGAATGATAAACTCATGGTTATTTAATTATAATTTACAGCTATGTTTTTTGCACCTTTGCATGTTTGATGCTAGACATGAATAAATCTGCTGAATCTATTAATTGTTTGCATGGTATACCTCAGCCTGGCGATATTTCCTAGCTGGCCTATCCCTGGGATATATATACGGTAATGCCTGGATATATCTCCTAGCTGGCCTATCCCTGGGACATAAACAGTAATGCCTGGAGATATCTCCTGGCTGGCCTATCCCTGGGACATATATACAGAAAGGCCTGGAGATATCTCCTAGCTGGCCTATCCCTGGGATATATATACGGTAATGCCTGGAGATATCTCCTAACTGGCCTACCCCTGGGATATATATACAGTAATGCCTGGAGATACCTCCCAGCTGGCCTATCCCTTGGACATATATACAGTAATGCCTGAAGATATCTCCTAGCTGGGCTATCCCTGGGACATATATACAGGAATGCCTGGAGATATCTCCTAGCTGACCTATCCCTGGGATATTATATAAAGTAATGCCTGGAGATATCTCCTAGCTGGTCTATCCCTGGGATATATATACAGTCATGCCTTGAGATACCTCCTAGCTGGCCTATCCCTGGGCCATATATCCAGTAATGCCTGAAGATATCTCCTAGCTGGGCTACCCCTGGGATATTATATACAGTCATGCCTGGAGATCCCTCCTAGCTGGCCTATCCCTGGGCCATATATCCAGTAATGCCTGAAGATATCTCCTAGCTGGCCTATCCCTGGGACAGATTTACAGTAATGCCTGGAGATATTTCCTAGCTGGCCTATCCCTGGGCCATATATCCAGTAATGCCTGAAGATATCTCCTAGCTGGCCTATCCCTGGGCCATATATCCAGTAATGCCTGAAGATATCTCCTAGCTGGCCTATACCTGGGACATATACAGTAATGTCTGGAGATATCTCCTAGCTGGCCTGTCCCTGGGACATATCCAGTAATGCCTAGAAATATCTCTTAGTCGGCCTATCCCTGGGACATATACAGTCATGCCGGGATATATCTCCTAGCTGGCCTATCCCTGGGCCATATATCCAGTAATGCCTGAAGATATCTCCTAGCTGGCCTATACCTGGGACATATACAGTAATGCCTGGAGATATCTCCCAGCTGGCCTATCCCTGGGATATATATACGGTAATGCCTGGAGATATCTCCTAGCTGGCCTATCCCTGGGATATTATATACCGTAATGCCTGGAGATATCTCCTAGCTGGACTACCCCTGGGACATATACAGTCATGCCTGGATATATCTCCTAGCTGGACTACCCCTGGGATATTATATACAGTCATGCCTGGAGATACCTCCTAGCTGGCCTATCCCTGGGCTATATATACAGTAATGCATGGATATATCTCCTAGCTGGCCTATCCCTGGGATATATATACAGTCATGCCTTGAGATACCTCCTAGCTGGCCTACCCCGGGGACATATATACAGCCATGCCTTGAGATACCTCCTAGCTGGCCTATCCCTGGGACATAAACAGTAATGCCTGGAGATATCTCCTAGCTGGCCTATCCCTGGGATATTATATACAGTTATGCCTGGATATATCTCCTAGCTGGCTTATCCCTGGGACATATATACAGTAATGCCTGGAGATATCTCCTAGCAGTCCTATCCCTGGGACATTTCCAGTAATGCCTGGAGATACCTCCTAGCTGGCCTATCCCTGGGATATATATACAGTAATGCCTGGAGATATCTCCTAGCTGGCATATCCCTGGGATATATATACAGTAAAGCATGGATATATCTCCTAGCTGGCCTATCCCTGGGATATATATACAGCTAGCTGGCCTATCCCTGGGATATATATACCGTAATGCCTGGAGATATCTCCTAGCTAGCCTATCCCTATTATATTTATACAGTCTTGCCTGGATATATCTCCTAGCTGGCCTATCCCTCCTGGAGATATCTCCTAGCTGGCCTATCCCTGGGACATAATACAGTAATGCCTTGAGATATCTCTTAGCTGGGCTATCCCTGGGATAAATATACAGTAATGCCTGGAGATATCTCCTAGCAGGCCTATCCATGGTACATTTACAGTAATGCCTGGAGATATCACTTAGCTGGCCTGTCCCTTGGACATATACAGTAATGCCTGGAGATATCTCCTAGGTGGCCTATCCCTGGGATATATATACAGTCATGCCTGGAAATATCTCCTAGCTGGCCTATCCCTGGGATATATATACGGTAATGCCTGGAGATATCTCTTAGCTGGGCTATCCCTGGGATAAATATACAGTAATGCCTGGAGATATCTCCTAGCTGGCATATCCCTGGGATTTATATACAGTAAAGCATGGATATATCTCCTAGCTGGCCTATCCCTGGGACATAATACAGTAATGCCTTGAGATATCTCTTAGCTGGGCTATCCCTGGGATATATATACGGTAATGCCTGGAGATATCTCTTAGCTGGGCTATCCCTGGGATAAATATACAGTAATGCCTGGAGATATCTCCTAGCAGGCCTATCCATGGTACATTTACAGTAATGCCTGGAGATATCACTTAGCTGGCCTGTCCCTTGGACATATACAGTAATGCCTGGAGATATCTCCTAGCAGTCCTATCCCTGGGACATTTCCAGTAATGCCTGGAGATATCACTTAGCTGGCCTGTCCCTTGGACATATACAGTAATGCCTGGAGATATCTCCTAGCTAGCCTATCCCTATTATATTTATACAGTCTTGCCTGGATATATCTACTAGCTGGCCTACCCTGGGATATATATACAGTCATGCCTGGAGCTACCTCCTAGCTAGCCTATCCCTGGGATATATATACAGTCATGCTTGGAGATATCTCCTAGCTGGCCTATCCCTGGGATACAGTCATGCCTGGAGATACCTCCTAGCTGGCCTACCCCTGGGACATATAAACAGCCATGCCTTGAGATCCCTCCTAGCTGGCCTATCCCTGGGATATATACATAACTGTCTATCTGGAGATATCTCCTAGCTGGACTACCCCCGGGATATTATATACAGTCTTGCCTGGATATATCTCCTAGCTGGCCTATCCCTGGGACATATAAAGTAATACCTGGAGATATCTCCTAGCTGGCCTATCCCTGTGATATTATATACAGTAATGCCTGGAGATATCTCCTAGGTGGCCTATCCCTGGGATATATATACAGTCATGCTTGGAGATATCTCCTAGCTGGCCTATCCCTGGGATACAGTCATGCCTGGAGATACCTCCTAGCTGGCCTACCCCTGGGACATATAAACAGCCATGCCTTGAGATCCCTCCTAGCTGGCCTCCCCCTAGGACATATACAGTAATGCCTGGAGATATCTCCTAGCTGGCCGATCCCTGGGATATATATACAGTAATGCCTGGAGATATCTCCTAGCTAGCCTATCCCTATGATATTTATACAGTCTTGCCTGGATATATCTCCTAGCTGGCCTACCCTGGGATATATATACAGTCATGCCTGGAGATACCTCCTAGCTAGCCTATCCCTGGGATATATATACAGTCATGCCTGGAAATATCTCCTAGCTGGCCTATCCCTGGGATATTATATACAGTAATGCCTGGAGATATCTCCTAGCTGGCCTATCCCTTGGACATATATACTGTAATGCCATGATATATCTCCTAGCTGGCTTAAACCTGGGACATATATACAGTAATGCCTGGATATATCTCCTAGCTGGCCTATCCCTGGGACATATATACAGCCATGCCTTGAGATACCTCCTAGCTGGCGCTTCCTGGGATATATATACAGTAATGCCTGGAGATATCTCCTAGCTGGCCTATCCCTGGGACATATATACAGTAATGCCTGGATATGTCTTCTAGCTGGCCTATCCCTGGGACATGTATACAGAAATGCCTGGATATGTCTACTAGCTGGCCTATCCCTGGGACATATATACAGAAATGCCTGAATATATCTCTTAGCTGGCCTGTCCATTGGATATATATAGTAATGCCTGGATATATCTCCTGGCTTGCCTATCCCTTGGACATATATACAGAAATGCCTGGATATATCTCCCAGCTGGCCTGTCCCTGGGACATATCCAGTAATGCCTAGAAATATCTCTTAGTCGGCCTATCCCTGGGACATATACAGAAATGCCTGGAGACATCTCCTAGCTGGCCTGTCCCTGGGACATATACAGAAATGCCTGGAGATCTCTCCTAGCTGGCCTGTCCCTGGGACATATACAGTAATGCCTGGAGATATCTCCTAGCTGGCCTATCCCTGGAACATATACAGTAATGTCTGGAGATCTCTTCTAGCTGGCCTATCCCTGGGACATATACAGAAATGCCTGGATAAATCTCCCAGCTGGCCTGTCTCTGGGACATATCCAGTAATGCCTGGAGATACATCCTAGCTGGCCTATCCCTGGGACATATATACAGTAATGTCTGGAGATATCTTCTAGCTGGCCTATCCCTGGGACATATATACAGTAATGCCTGGATATATCTCCTAGCTGGCCTATCCCTGGGACATATACATAACTGTCTATACAGACCTACCTGGACTTGTCCTCTTTTGGTTTCTTTGAAGACTGATAAGGTTTGGGTTGTGAGGTAGCACTTCCAGATTTCCCCTAAGAACAAAGATGAACCGATTTCTAGCATCATTGAACAAAGTACAAAGGTTAGTATATCAAATAATTTAACTAAACTTGTGAACAATAATGGTTTTGGATCCAAGCATCACAAAGATCATTTTTAACTGTTCTTTTGTCCTATGACTTAAAGCTATATATTACCATACTATGAAATTTATCTGCTTCCCAAAAGATTTCCACACTAGCTACATGCATGTATAATATGTATTATAAATTATATTTGGATTTGGTTAAAACAAAAATTGAAGAGAGATCACTGTAACAGGAAGCACTGGTATTATGTGTAAGGTATCTGTGTCCTTTAGTTTATAGGTTATACGATTCAACAGCCTGATGTTGGGGCAAATCTTCTTGTGAGTTAGTAGTTAAAAACTGGAATTATACACCCCTATTTTAAAACATTTACCATAGACAGCGAAGACAATTTAATATTAGGACAAATTTCATTAGCACTTTTGACACTGTTTGTGTCCATGTGGCAACAAATACTATCATACAATTTATAAACCTTATCAAAAGATGGGAAAATGTCTCGTCTTAACTCCATTTTATTGAGTCATTTTTGACAAAATATACATTTGACTTCTGTGATCTTGAATATCAGTCAAGATGAATTTTTGAATGATCTTAATAGCCCTTCATCCAAGCTCACTAATGTCACCAGGCCTACATGTAGTTAGTAGTTCTTGAAAATAAATAAATTGAACATATTCTTGTGGCTTTGAATTAAGGTCAAGGTCATGTATTTGAGCAAATCTGATTGCCCTTCACCCAAACAAGCTTCACTGCATATATCAAGATGATGCAACATTTTTGGCATATTAAAAATAGTTTGGTTTATATCAGAGCTTCAATCTGTGTACTGAACAGGGAAAAAACTGGGGATTAATCATTAAAACATACCTTAAGTAAATCAAAGGAAGATTCATGTTTCTTCAGGCCTGGTCTTTTGGAGGCTGAAAAATACAAAGGTTGTAAGTATGAAATGTGAATTTGAAATTGATACACTCCTTAAAATTATCCTAATGGTTATGCATCCTAAAAGATATCTACTGGGTATTGTCAGAGAACAAAACATATCTTTCAAAGCATATTTAAATGGAAACTTAACACTGTTACTTTGTCTTTTAAAAAAAAATAATTCAAAACAGTTTTGTTAAACAAATGGAAATGTATTGGAAATATTCCTAAAATCCATTGATAAAATTGCAGAAAAAAAAAGTTTTATTATGCAAGTTGAAAAATTAATGAAATATAAAGTGGCTGTCCATCAAAACAGTATGTATCAAATCAATGTTTATCATGAATAATTCACAAACATGCCTACCTGACGGGACCTTTTTGATTTTAGAAGCCATCCCTTCTATTTTGTAGCTGCAATAAAAGTTGATTAAAATGTAACACACTGTTAGAAAAAAAATAAAAAAAATCAAATTCAGCTTAAATGTAAAATACATGTGTCCTTGAAATGCATGCTGATATATTGGTTATCTTTATATCTTACATCTTTACATTACTCTAGGAGAATATGAATATATTCAGCCAATATAAAGTACAATGAAACTGAAATGTCTACCACGACTGGTGAATTTTAACGATATACTGATGAAATACCAAATAATATCAGATCTAATAATATAACCAATGAAAGGTTCCAATTCATTAAAACAGTAACCAAATATGGACATCTTTATTAAAACAGTAACTAAATATGGACATCTTTATTAAAACAGTAACCAAATATGGACATCTTTCAGTTAACGTGTTGTAACAATGTAACAAAATATATTCATATATACATATATAGCAGTGTTGTAAAATCAATAATAAAATATACATCGTAGTGTAAATATAATACAACAGCATGCAGTTGGTAGAACATATTTGTGTGAAATATATAAAGTTTATTACAAAACAGCCGTCCAAACTATGTCAACAAGACCATGTGGTTTCTCCATTCTACCTATGCATATACACACTTACCTGTTCAACGGTAATTAGTTGGTTCCATCGGATGTAGCAATATTTACAAGCATTGATGAAATGAGGAATTATTCTCACTTGCATAACGGAGGAAATTAGGCTAGAGAACTTACCTTCTGTCAGCTGGACAGGTCCCACGCTGTATAGCTAACTCCGCGCAGACATGTTTGTTTACCTGGGTGACAGATACCAGGGGAGATAACTAATTGCGGTACGTTCGATAACGAACCATTTTAGATCACTAGAAGCGGATGTATTTCGATTTTTTTTATTAAAATAGATCGACTTTGTTTATAAGAGATGAAAGTAGCGGGATATAACAGCAAATATCACTAAACTAAAATGTAGGTAATAATCCTATTTCAAAATAAACAATAATATTTATTTTGGTTAAAGATACATTTTGAAGGTTATCGCTCATTTGATATCGTTATGGCTATTATACGCACTTATATAGACTGTTCTGAAAAATAAATAATTACCAATAGTGAGAGAATATTATAAAGATGATTGCCAAAATAACACAGAATTAGGCAGGGTATACTGAACTGCATAATATATAACCATAAATAACATCTTCATAAATGTAGACTAAATTTTGGTTAAAGATATATGTGTGGGTGTATAGTGACCAAAAAGTCTAGGCAAGATAATAGCTGAGTGCCCTTGGTTTGAAAGTAGACCTGTTCTATAACATCAATAATTATTATACGCTTACAGCCCGTCTGAGTGGGATTTTCATGTGTATCATCTAACCGCACTGAAATTGCTTTTTGTAAGCTACATTTGTATATCCGTGTTTAATGCATTACAACAAGAAATGCATGACAATTGTGCTTAAATCTTTAACTGGTTGATAATGTGAAGTACCGTTTTCATAGATAATCTAAAACGTTTCCTTTCCCAGTACGAAAGCGCGTTATCTCAACAGATAGGTCGTATGAGGATGTGTCTACGTGATCGAACTACTAAAGGGCTATTTTGAAGTGCGATCTCAATGAAATGTCATACTCTGGCACGGTAGCATTTTTATCGGCGTTTAACATGACTCCGCGCAACAGCTATGGTCACATGAAGATGGGTGCTTAGGGAGATACCGCTGAAAGGAAAGAGTACATGTAGGTAAGGAGAGAAAAACCATAGAGATCCCAAGTGTTGTTATGGAGAAACAGAATTTTGGTCTCTTGTATTAATTCACACATAGACTTCTTTCAGAATTGATATTATCTCGCTACATATATTATCCCTGATAGAGCTGTTCAAAACAGGGCACAACTGATGATCTAAATAATAAAAAGTTTGACAAACCACATATGAGGCATTTGTCTTAATTAACCCCTAATCCTGGTCACGGCCCCATTTTTCAGACCAATTCAATGTAAAGGTAAATCAAACTATTTTGTGAAACGTTGACGAAACTATTTCAGCTATTGAAAACTCTTTCAAGATATGAAGCTTACGAACAAAGTATCTATTCGGAGGATAAATGAGATGCAAGCAGTTTCCAAAATTATTTCTCTTCAACCCCAAAACATCACCGATATATCACACTATATCCCTTCCTTTGAGAAAATGAAGAACATATCTTCTTCCTTTGTGATCTCATAACCAGTAAGCCATAAAATAATTCCTCATCCACTATTAACTCAATATCAATTTATCGGATGAAAAAAATAACAACTGAATGAAATTTGAAGATTGAGAATTTGTATAAGAGTCATTTTTTATTCAGAAAACTCATTAGAAATGATAAAAGTGGGCTTGCTAAAAGTGTACGTTAGTGTTATAATTGATATGCATGTTGTCAATAATTTGGGGAAAACATGAAAAGATTTAAAGCCGAATTCTGTTTTTAATCATAACCTTTGCCTTTTTGATAGTTTGACATGTTTTAAGCGAATTTCAAAAAAGTTTGTTTGAGCACATATTCCATGCTTTGAGCATGAGAACGGGTTCGTGAATATGGGCTTATGGGCTCAGTAAACATTAAACTGAATTAGGTGTTTAGAGGGAGATGACTCGTATACCACCTAAGAGTACCAAACGCATGTGTATCCGAATACCACAAACAAAAAAATCACACACGGCAGCCTTTAAAAGATTAGAATACAATAACACACGGATAACGTGCACTACGAGAACTTGTGATTAGAGGTCGTTAATTAAACAAAACCCCGACCGACGTTGCCAACCCGGCTTTTGAATTTTGCTGATCACAGTCATTCATACTAAGAGCTTGTTTATACTGAAGTAGACAACATTTTGTTTGATTTCGGAATTTTTGCAAGTGTTTTTGAACAATGTCTGCGACTAATCAACCCGACAAGACAAAACGGATAGGGCGGTGGTATTTCGGCGGGATTGCTAGTGCTATGGCCGCGTGCTGCACTCATCCAGCTGATCTTATCAAGGTACGTTTAAATGGACATACGTGCAACCTCGTAATTGGAGACGTATTTAATCGTCTTAGTTCGATCATAGCTTTAATAAACGTTTGTAGTGACCAATCGAAATTTTAATTGTTTACAACGTATCTTAGTATTAACATTTTTCATGTTGAAGGACATTACACATTTTGCAATACCAAATACTTGCAACTTTAGTTCTTGTGTAAACTGTATAAATACTGGCATAGAAAAATCGTCCATTGAACCTACATTCATCCTCTTCTCCTGTTTATGGAGAAACTTTTAAAGCGTATTGACCTCTGTTATGCTGTACACAGTACCATTTCAAGACATATATGGTGTATGTGTTAATGCTAGTTAGCTTAAAAATCATACTATATTTAGCATAGGTAAGCCTACTGTCGAAAATAACAATACAACTAATGACCCGAGTCGACTCGGGTTTGGCAGGATACCATTTGTGTTGGTAGAATTTGATACATATGTCGGTGAATGAATTATACTAAACGGCAGGAATGCATGTTTATTATCAGTTCACTGCGACGTTGGTGTTTGTTAGAATTGTTTCTATAGTTTTAACTATTAAAAGGAATGGACATGGCCCGAGCTTGGCATTGGGCCGATGCAACTGATCTTTCGGAGGGGAAACACTTCTGTCATGTTTGCAAAACACAATCAACATCAGGAACTTCAAATGAATGTTATAAATGTTTAAAATGAAATTTCCTTTATTTGGAAAAAGGCGGTAGAATACAAATGTGAACTGCAAGCTAACAACTGTGTTTGACAATAACACGGAAAAAGTCAACGAAAAAATATCACAGTGACTATGAAAGACGGGGACAGGAAGGAGGAGACATCACTATTTAAGTAGATGTAATAATGGGATTGATCCGATAGAACTACTGATATTAACATTAGTAGTAGGAATCGTCACCCTATAGCTAATGGATATATTTAAGTCGTGCGTACAATGAAGGGAATTCCGTTTAATGACGGCACGTCAGTGGTTCACGGAATTAATAATGATTGGGCGCGTGCACTGCATGTAATCATGTCTGATTAACTATGAGTTACTGATCTATTATCTGTTATGAGGTAGGTAACACTGCGGATAACCATCACAAATTGCTGTACACTCAGTAAACATATTAATGGCATCACGCCAAAACTGCGACTTACGATCAAGGAAGACTTATTAACTATTCGATATTATAATATAATTTTTATATTAAACATATTTCTATGATACGGACATTTGCTCTGTATGATTTAAATGTATGTGAAGTAGATAAGTAGTTAAAGACGCCTTGTTTATTGATCTATAAAAACGTTAAGCTGATGAGTTGTAGATTCGTTATCCGATGTCATTTTTTAAAACATTTTTTTAGAAGGATTTAAGCGCTTATTGGTATTTTTCAGATTTCTTGAGCATATTGATTGTACTGTCTAGTTAAACATGCGCTTCATTTATAGTTTGGTTTCTTGCAAACACGATGTGTAATTTGTGGCAAATGTTTTGATTTTATTGTACATGCAAGTATATGTTATTAATACAAACATAAAATAGAATAGACATGATATCCATTGTATATGCATATTTTATGATAATGTGCAGTTCAGTTAAGCTGTATAATAACTATTTTATGCAAATGTTCTATTAATATATTACCAAATGTATTTACCCACAAATCATTAGGTCCTATATGAATTTGAATAGATTATAATTTAATTCTTCAGTTACACTCTTGTGTCGTTTCTTGCATCTTGAAACAAAAATAACCCTTCTTGCGATGCTTATGGCCTGTTACACTTTGCTTACTTTTCAGATAACATAATTGAAAAAAATAGAAATTCAATGAAATTACCGGTTGATTAGTGTTATGTTTCTTATTAACAGGTTCACCTACAGACACAACAGACAGAGAAGGTCAAGGTCACGACTCTAGTCGGCCGTATCATTAAGAATGACGGAGTTCTGGGGATATATAACGGACTATCCGCCTCCATCTGTAGGCAGGTAAGGCGCTCAGCAATGAGCAAATAACAGTATTGACGTGGATAAAATGAAACCATAAGATATTCAACTATTGTAAAATATTCCAAAGCCTTTATGAACAGACACGACAGCATGACAGGGATAACGACACATGTGCTACTGTAGATTAAGTTAATCACCGGAAGATTAAGTAAAGGAAAACTTATTCAAACGTTTAGTCAGTCGATGCAAGAAGTAAAAACAGGAAACATTTCTACCATTTGGTCATATAATCCATATAAGAGTATTAAGGTCAAACTAATGATTATCTGTATTGTATTTCAAGTGTATTCATTTTTGCGAAATGACCTTTACATATCTATTATTCGCGAGGACATCAATGTCGAATTTACGTTGTTATGTATTAACAACCATTCACGTCACACTTCTATACAAGATCTGTTGTTAATGCAAATTTATGCAAAAATTACAATCACGCAAAATAAAGATTATCTGCAGTAAATATGACAAAAGCTTGTATGTATTTATTAAGTATTCATTTTCATGTATGGTATGAAAGAAAAGGAAATAATAGACGTTGCCAGTTCTTATCTATTCGTATTCGTTATAATATAATATTATCTATACAAATCAACAAGACTACACACTGCCTATTACTTTGTTTTATGTGATACCTCTGTAATAACAACTAACCAATGTTTTGTTAATTTTGTCAGTTGACGTACTCCACTACCCGGTTTGCTATATACGAGACGATAAAGAAACAGCTGACTAAGGATGGGAGTGTGATGCCGTTCTACCAGAAGGTTGGCACGGCCGTAGTGTCGGGTGCCATGGGAGGTTTCGTTGGTACCCCCGCCGACCTCATCAACGTCAGGTATTCTCCATTCCTCTGTTGTTGTTGTCTTGATCGATAATGTTTTAACATGTGTGTGTTTCTTTGTTTTATTTCGAAATAACGAAATATTTCCAAATCTTACTTTCTAATGTAAGCAATCGCTTGGTGTAAGCTTGTTTGGTTTTGATCATAAATGTGTTGCCACAAATGTGTGTAGATACTATTATATACGCTTGCGAATAATGCTGACAATGCCTATTAGATGACTAATACTTTGTTTCCCCACGCTTACTATTGCGGAACAAATGGTCTTATTCTCGGTTTTAATCTTTCCTTTGTTAATATTTTGCCCTTGTTTTATCGATCTTAAGCTTGAATTATGGATTTGTTGACACTTTGTAACTCTCATATAATTGAAGTGTAACAAAAAAGAAAGGCCATTCTTTCTTGACGTTTAAGGAACCGTTAGGTAGGTTATTATTCTTTTTCACCGTTGAACTATATATATATATATAATACATTTTTTTCTCGCTTCGATTAAAGGTACTATCGTGCAATATTTGATTGTTTTTATCTGTTTCAGGATGCAGAATGATGTAAAGCTACCAAAAGATCAACGAAGAAAGTGAGTAAAAATATCTGTATGTGGGCTAAGGGATCACGATATGGTTCGTTCATTGTATACAATAACATGGCTTAAACGCAGGTAAAAAGAAAGTAGTTTGTAAAAAAAAAAAAAACGATTTCGAATGCTCCTGTCTTTAGATAAAGTGAATATTGATATGGTCGTTGTTGGAGAACTCCATCATGAAGCAACTACATAATTAAAACATTTCCTGATTCGTATATTTCTAGCTATAGGAATGCCTTTCACGGGTTTTACCGAGTGTTTCGGGAAGAGGGGATTGCCAGGATGTTCTCTGGTGCCACTATGGCCAGTTCTAGGGCGATCTTGGTCACCGTCGGACAGGTGCGTATTCTCCGCTTCATTTTAAATTGCTCTTCTCGAGAAAAAGTGGAAAAAAATAATCGTTTATGAATTGTTTATGTGAACGCGGTTCTGTTAGGCGTTCCTTTGTAAAAATTTAACGACGCATTGATTTTAGGTAAAAACCGATTTCTATGGACAGAAATAACATCATTAATAGCTTAGTTTGAAAATTTATGAACGACAAGGCTCAATGTGACATTGTTTGCATGTACTTTTGAGTATTTGACTGAAATGTACAACACGACACATGGAGATGTTGGTTTATTTGTTTCTACAGCTGGCATGCTACGACCAGATCAAACAGACGCTTATGGACACAGGGTTCTTCAAAGACAATGTGTTAACACATGTAACCAGCAGCGCAGTAGCGGTGAGTACACAATCCTTAATGTGACTGCTGAACTCCTGTCAGTTAGCATTCGTCAGTGTTGTTTGCTCGTTTAAGAGTGTATGTCATCGCAACACGTAAAGGTCTCATCACGGGGGTCACTGTGTTGGCAACAATAAGTAAATAACATGACAACTGGTGTCAAGACATACTCTACACATATTGGTCAGTTGACAACACATGTCAGATTAAATATATCCCACAACAAAAAATAAAATGTTAAAATCGATCCGAAAAGACATCACCTGTAACTAAGAAGACATCATAAAGAAGGACATGATTCACATTTTCGAACAATGGAGGTAAAATTAGGGTCTTCGGGAGTGGCAGCATCGCTTATACCACATGTGACGACCTTCACGATGTCTCCGTCAAATCTAAAAACGCTTTGAATAAACATGTCATATTCACTAATCTTTCTGAAATTTTAGGGTACCATAGCCACGGTGATTTGTCACCCAGTGGACGTAATGAAAACTAGGATGATGAACGCACCGCCTGGAAAGTACAGTGTAAGCTGAATTATATATCCCGTCAACAGCTTTACTCTCAGCAGTAATACATTTATAGTTGTAACTTTGTGTAACCTTTGTGTCAAGAGTGCGATCCATTTATACTCTCAGCAGTAATTCGTTTATATTGTAACGTTATGTAAAACTGTTTCGAGCCAGTCTTACTCTCAGAGAATCAATTAACGACCTCGTATATAACATCATTTCTTAAAACCATTTTCAGGGTTTATTTGCATGTGCAAAAGACATTGGCAAAAACGGACCATTAGGATTTTTTAAGGTAAGGATGATTTGATTATTGAAAGTACATGTAAATGGAATATACAATTACGAATGTACATGTACTAAATCCTAATTCCCACTTTTGCTTACGTGGGGAAGAAACAAACTAAGTTTGATTTGTGTTTTTCTTTTATAAGTTATGAAAGCAGGAATCGACTAATAGAATTTTCGTTGTAATTTAGACGAAATGAACATTATATTGGTCCGTATTCATTCAACGATTCTTCTGCTCAAACTCTGATCCTGTGCCCAAGTTCAATTATCAGATCCTTTTAATATATCACGTACTTGTATATTTCGTTGGTACTTAATATGATGAACTTGTAGCTGGGTACAATTGCCTCATTATTATTATTTTTCTTTTAAATCCCATCACTAGAATCGCAGTCACAAGAAATGTGAAGATTTGACTACAGTACTTGAAACGGTACTTGAGAAAGTTTTTTATGAACACAGGTCAAGGAAATAATAATGAGTATTTCTTGTACTACTGATATCGCTTTTGTCTTTAATAGGGATTCGTCCCCGCCTTCGTGCGATATGGACCTCATACAGTCTTCATATTCCTTTTCCTGGAACAGATACGACAGAACTTCGGGGACGACCCCGAGTAGCCACTATGACGAAAGCGCTGCTAGTGTCTTCATAGTTGCGAGTAGTTTCTCGAAACCAAGTACTTCTTATCTCATCAAAACACTGAACATCAATACTCTAGCTCGTATTCCAGAAAATTGAGTTATTTGATGATGTTATCATGTTGTCTACATATAAGTATTAATTTAGGATTGACTCTTGCTTTGGTCGATTTCACGGAGTGATGAATTGAGTTGGTCTTGGAACAATTTTTATGAACTGCGATTGTCAGTGAAGCACTATGTTTGCAGATATGCAGATTGATAAATCTCAAATCCCCCGGAAATACAACACTTCAACGAAGGATTTTGTATACAAATGTGAAAATATCACCACATCAAGTTTCATACTGAAATATATAGATGAGTCAAAAATGATGTCAGGTTTTGTGTAAAGTTATTTTCTCGAGAAATGTGACTTACCAAGTGATCGAGAATATGAATAGTCGTCCCTTTAGATGAAAAAAGCATTGCAAGACAGTAAACGTTAGCTTTGAAAATGTGACGATAGTATATGTTTGTAATACGTTAATGTTTGTAGGTACTTTTGATTAACTGTATTTTGTTATTACAGCCAGATACATTTATCATGTTTGTACTCTTGCTAATGGCATATCCATTCCACAATCTCTAAACAGAGTTGTCGTTCTTTTCAATCGGTGGGTGTAAGGAACGACAACACTCTGTAGAGATTAGTTCATTTAAGTCATCTTAATAAAAATACTAATTACAAATAATTACTTATTATGAAGCTCACTAAGCCGTGATAAAGCTGTTTTAGGCTGCCTGTGTATACCAGTAAAACTATATGTAAGTTGTTACATATTAAATTTAAATGTCTCTGAAAAAACGCTGCATAATAACAAATTATTTGGGTGTTCTTAAATCCATATTTTTATCACGTCAAAGAATGTTAAATCCATATTATTAACAGCGTACCGCTAATATTGCGTTCCAGTTGCGGACGAATAAAAGTCGGTGTAACAAGCTTCTTGAGATAATGACATGAACTTAATTTTTTTAATACATTTCTTTTTAATTTTATTGATTTCATAGGTATCGTTTGAATACCTGGATATGTTTTTTGAAGTTCTGATTTTAATAATCAAATATTTGTTGAAACAAAATTTACCAAAAGAAGACTTACAATTCAGTTCTGGACTATTAAGTATTGACATAGATATACACATGAATATATCGATTATGTAGACCTCAAAATCGACAAGGCAAACAGAGATGATAATCACTAACGTTCTTAAACTTTACAGCCATATTCAGGCGTTTACTTTTAATTCATAGGTTACAATTTTATCAACATTATGTTACATTCTATTTGCCTTGTATATTTTAAATATAATATTTAATATTAATTATATACCGTTATTTATCATTTGTTTTCCTAGAGAAATAGAAACTTGTCATCTGTAATGAATGCCGTGGTTAAGGTGTGGATGCCGTGGGAAAGTTTGTTTGAAATGTTGAAGTTATCCTTGTGTATGTGTATGACATAATCTTGTGGATATTGTGTTCATCGTTTAGATATGTAAACATAAAAAATCAACAAGACAAATAGAGTTGATCATCACTAACGTTTTCAGTTCTTGCAGTTATCTTCAGGTGAGTACTTGACTCCTAATGTCGAGGTTACAACGTCAACTCTGTTTACCTTGCTGATTTTTATATCTATAAATATACATGTTCACCTTTATTTATTATTTATTGACCGAGTGAAAAATCAAATATTGTTTCTAATTTATGAATGAAGTTTTCCGTGTGTATGTTGGTTTCGGACCAGTAGAAGTATCTACCTTATGTGTACGTTATAACGGGTAGACTCTATCTAGTGGCCAATTTGTAATTTAGATGTGATATTTAGTCCTATATTTTACTGTGTATTTTGTGTATTTAGGTGGAAGACTATGTTGTTACTTTCTGTTGTTAAGGCGACCAGTTGGCCTTCGATTTATACAGAAATACTAGTTAACGATACATTCTTGTACCACATTATTTAATTAATAAAGGAATATATCATGGACTATGAAGGTTCAGTCTTTGTTTATGAAGATTTGATTTTAATGGAAGAATATCTCACACTTCCAGGAGGAGACATTTTATATACAGAAATGGCAAATTCTGCAACATAATATATATAATAATATACAACATTCATATAGCGCCCTATATAATTTGTAAATAACCCTAAAGCGCTTTACAACATATGGATAATAATAATGGTTATAATTGTGAAAACAAAACACAAAGGCTTACAATCACTGTTATGCATTTAAGCAAGCAATGTGCACATAATTGAACAAATAAAAGGGTGGTATTTACATGACGTCTTTGCAAAGATTCTAAAATGCAGACGTAAAGAGGCGAGTTTTGATGTCCCTCTTGAACTTGGCCAGGGTATTTGACTTTCTAATAGCAGATGGTAAGCTATTCCACAACGTAGCCAAAACCCTCCCAAAGCATCTGTTTCCGTAGGTCACAGTACGAGAATTTGGAACACACGACAAAGATTCTGACTCCGACCGAAGTGATCGTGACGGCTGATACAGGGGAACAAGCTCCTGTAGGTACTGAGGAGCTGTTCCATTCAGTGCCTTGTATGTGTACACCAGAATTTTGTACTGCGACCTGTATCGTACAGGTAACCAGTGCAACGAATAAAGCACAAGTGTGAGTGATGTGCTCTCTCTTTCGAGTACGAATTGTTCAATTGTGAATATGCATACGGATATTTAATGTTTAAACAATAAACATGTGCTTCTATCAAATTACATTTATTAAGTACATTTTGTACTGTCTCAAACGTTTTGAGACAAGATTACTGGCTTCCTGTAAAAGACACGTTGAAGAAGCCCATTCGTCGGCCCTGTGTCTTCAAAAGATTCTGTCATATGCCTGTGTCCAAAAATATTTCAAACGAGTATCTCCTTAATTGTATAATTATAATCATTTTGAAAGTGGTACATAATCCACGTGTTCTTCGTGTAGGTGAATAAAAGACGTAGAATTGCAGTTTATTTGACACAACAAAGGTACTAGTAACTTTTTGAACAATATTGCCATTTTCACTGTCAACTTCAATTCATTAGTCAAGCGTAACAAACGGAAATTCCGATATTTTCTTTCATAAAAGAGTAAATAAAAATGTTGAGAATCCCATATGTTGGAAGTCCAACTTTCGATTTCTTTTGGGAACGCTTAAACTATTGCCGAGAGTGTAGAAAAAACATGATGATCTGAATATTTTTGTAAGGAAAGCGTATAATCTGGGGTTTTCCTTTAACTTATTTTGCACATACATGTATCTGTAAATAGCTGTTTAGGTGGAAGTATATTGCATTATAGAAATATTTAATTTTGAGGGTTTTGTGACAGTTTGATTAAAGAGCATTCCTAATGTCAATAGTCATTTCCACAACGGAATTCCATTACAAACTGAACGAGAAACATTTGAAATGCGACTTAATGCTATGCAAGAAAGGGCATTAAGGAAATTGAAACAGCAATATCAACTTCCACTAACGTCTCTATTTGGTCACCTCTGTTCAATATTGCACAAATGTTTATTACTCAACAATAAGTGTGAGTGCCTTTCTTCCTATGTAGCTCCAGACGATGTCAAATGTGCCTTATTATAGTTAATAGGATGGAATAGGAAATGAGTGGACGCGGGCATTGCTGCCTCTATATCCACATCAATATCATGTGAAATACATTGGGGTAAAATGGTCTATTCAGAAGGAGTTCGTATCGTATTGCAACTGAAGATCTTTCCAGAATTCGTCGAACCTTTTTCTCCATATCAGATACAGTACGAGATGAAATAACATCCTGAGAGACACTGTTCCAGAAATCAATAATTCTTTGAGTTATTCTTTGAAAGCAATGTTTTCTAAGATTTAAATGTCAATTTTGTTTTAGTAATTTAAATATATGTATATGGTTCATTAAAATTTCTTCTAACATCTTTTGGTAATTGGTATGTAAATAGATTTGGAGAACCCGACATGTTAAAGGAGGACAAAGGTTGGAGTTATAAATAGATAAGACCTGTAAGACCTTTTCAATCCACACGTACTTTTTTGAAACCATTGAACAAGAGACAAAAGATACAAATATGGAAGTTTGAACCGGGATTGTTTAAATAAATAAAGCAATGTACGCACTCGAATTGTGCAGAATAATATGACATTGTTGTCATGTGCTCTTCTGAGCCAATTTCAAAATGATGCAGCCTTGATAAACATCACACAGATGTTATAGCTAGCTAGATATACCTGTAATTAAAGCTAGACCAAAACGGTACTATATTGGCATAGAAATGGATGTGCAGGTAGCACAAACTTCTATATCATATTGGTTTATACCAGAGAATGAGTTACTTTAGCGGAATGTAAAAGTTGGAAGTGTTGCTTAACGAAATAATTGTGATAATGCTACTCCTATTGCAGAGTGAGTTATTGAGTGTTTCATACCGTATCATTATGTTTTCCACCTATTGAGTGTTTCATACCGTATCATTATATTTTCCGCCTATTGAGTGTTTCATATCGTATCATGATATTTTCCACCTATTGAGTGTTTCATATCGTATCATTATATTTTCCACCTATTGAGTGTTTCATACCGTATCATTATATTTTCCCATGTCTCTCAACTGTCTGGCGTTTTCCTTCTCTCCGGATTTAAACAATCCTTCAGCTCCAGGAACAAGTTTAGTTGATCTCCTTTGAACACTTCATATTTTCCAAAGCATTTAACCTTGTATGTGACTCGTGATGTCCAGAAGTGTTATTGCCTAACACACAATGTCTTTCTCTGTTTCTGATTTTCTTAAGAAAGTTTTACCAATTCGATAGACTTCTGCTCCAGTGTTTCTCCCAATGTGTATATGTACACATTTTCCTGAGTAAAGTTTCAGCAACAATGTAACGCACCAATGGTTTATCTGCTGGAGAACCTCTTGAAGAACTTTTGGATTTTTGATAAATAGTTTTGAAAGCTCTTTATAGCGCATCCTTTGGGAGAATTTGAGCGGTTTTGGGGGACTTCTGTAACAGTCTCTGATACAATTAAATCTTGTGAAGTTACCATCACATGTTCGACATAAACCGACGTGATTTGAGGTATGTCACTAATGGACGCTGTTCCTAATCCTCATCGGGTGTCAGTGATGATCGCCAATGGCTGATTTTTTGTATTCACATTTATATACTACCAATCTACCGTTGTGTTATTCGTTTACTCTTTTTTTAAGTTCTTGTTCAGAGTTATGCCGCTAAAATCACGTCCTTGCATGAAGTGCGTCTGTTGCTCTTCTGTACGCTCAAATACAAATATACTGGATCCTTTGCTCATATTACTTTACTCACCAGTGAGTTGTTTTTTTAGTTTTATTGTGTAACATGTATGGTTAACTTCCGCTTGTTCTTCTCAAAATATTATATTTTGTTATATTTTAATTACAGATTCACAGCACTGTTAAGTAATTTGTGCGCACGGTTTGTTAATTCGTGCGCACGGATTAGTAAATGTTTTACCATGTCCCTTCGAGGGCTCTATCCCAACAGGTAACTCTGAAAATTTAACTCTATATTCTTTTTCTTTTTGATACAAAATATTGTGAAATTCCTTTCTTGATTGAAAGCAGAGACGTGCATACGCTTTATATACGTCTCTGTTTGAAGTAATTGCAGGGAAATCAGCATGGAAGTTTAGTATGACGCAATACAAAATATATATATATAAAAATAAATATGTATATATATCATAACTAATTTTAAAAATCAACGTTTTTCCAATTGTTCAAATATTGTAAATTGTAAAATAAAAACTTAAAGTTATTGATATTACAAAACCCTAATGTTTTCTTATTGAAAATAATATTTTTTATGGCATGCCGAAAGCTTGCGGATCAATTTTGAAATACAATAGAATACATTGTAAAAGTTTCAATAATATGTAGCAAAACTGATCTTGTTTGAAGTATTTGTTGAATTTCCAACTTTGTACTTTGTTTTGCAACAATGTACAAGTTTTGAAACAATTACAATGTATGTTGTAGTCGAAGGGAGATAACTCCGACTAAACGCATTTCCTAGGTCACGTCAACGTAGGCTGTGGTCACGTTTGCATGTAGTGTGTTGTTAGAGAAGGATGCTTACTTGCAGTTAGCTTTTAGTCCCACTCCTTTAATTAACTACCTGAATGACCAGATCTGCTGATATGTCTTCGATTACGAGCATGCCGGTGGACAAGACCAAGCGTATAGGGCGATTTTACTTCGGCGGTGTGGCTAGTGCTATGGCTGCGTGCTGCACTCATCCTTTGGACCTGATCAAGGTAAGCTCACCATCCAGCAGCCCTACTGGTGTATATGGTGAACACAGGTAACACGTAGGTAACGTGTTGTAATAAGTACCGTCCAGGCAATGTAGGATACTGTCGTCTGTCAGAGACACGTAATATTACAGCTCATAGCAGTCGTTATTAAGGCTCTCATGTATGAAACTGTGAAACAGTTATTAAAGTCATTGTGTCGTTACTTATTCTGTATGTTAAAGTTGGAAACTCTGATGAGTCAGCCACAGTACCCTTCATCAATTTAGTTAAATGTATCTAATGGACACTCTGTATAGGTAGAGCAGCTTTAAGTTAACCTTAATACTTACTGTATGCCATGCAGTCATGGAATACACTAGTCAAGGTGATCTACACAAGCATCAGTTGTCCATTTCAAAAATAGACGTTGACTCCCTCAGATTGGTCCTTTTGATAANGAAAACATGCTCCAGGTCAGGAACCGTTACATTAGTGCATTTACAATTATTTTTTGTTTTTTAGCAAAAAAAAGGTCCAATTTTTTTTTAGTCTCGCTCCGCTCGGCGAAAGATTTCATTCTACGCCCCCTCTTTCAAATATCCTAGAAACGCCCCTGAAATGTATCTAATGGACATTCTGTATAGCTAGAGCAGCTTTAAGTTTAACCTTAATACTTACTGTATGCCATGCAGTCATGGAATCCACTAATCAAGGTGATCTACACAAGCATCAGTTGTCCATTTCAAAAATAGACGTCGACTCCCTCAGATTGGTCCTTTTGATAATGTAGAGTTTTACATCAGTTATGAAAGAAGTTATTTCAACTTATACATGTATCAATAACTCGTGTGCGCAGGGTGTTTATTTGGGAGGAAACCTGAGTACCTCAAGGAAACCCTAATGGTCGGGCATGTGACATCATACCTTTTCACAACAAATCAGGGAATCAAATCCCGGGGGCCTTGGTGAAAGTTAAGTGCGTTATCCACTGCCCCAGTGACCTACCCATAGCTGTACAGAATTAAAAGGCGTCCCGTTTGTTAGTCGCACATTGCTAGTTATTGTTTCATTTATCCTTCAATATTTTACTACCGATTGCGACCCCATAACTAAGATCACTAGGCATCAAAAACCAAATTATGAAATCCTTGTCCAGGACTTCTGCACAACTATTTTTTTTATTAGTTTTGACAGATGGTGAAGGATTCTGCACAACTATTTTTTTTATTAATTTTGACAGATGGTGAAGGATAACGAAAGTTATGTGCTGCATGCAATTCTTGGTTCTGTTATAAGGCCAAGGTCATTTGAAGGGGTCAAATTAAAATTATTGTATGTGCTTGTCTGTGCCATAACTTCAAGCTGGTATACTGAAGATGACTCTTCATATGTTTCATGACTAGTTTATAGGTTTGTATAGCACAACCACTGAAATGTTTATGTGTGACGTTTTCGATGACTTTAGTGTGACACATACTCTTCAGAGGACAGAGGAGTGACCAGTAAACACTAAGGTACTAAATATTAGGTGACAATCTAGCTGATAAATCAATTCAGCTACGTTTTACGAGTATGTACAATAAGGTGTTACGTATCATGACAGGTCAGTGTATGTGCTATGTACAGTTGTCATGTCTACTCCCCAATGTCAACGTCACCAAGAGGAGTTAAAGGTCAAAAAAGTGTCTAGTAATACTGACAGGATGTTGGCTTTATACTGTGACTTCGCACAAAAAGCTGAGCTTATGTTGGCACAGTATTAAATACTGACTGGATATCAAGTTTACGTTATGTCATCTCACTCGAAGCTGACATCATATTCAGTCAGCATTACTGACAGGATACTTAAATTTATTATGCCAACATTTGACAAGCAGGAACATATGGGATTACAAGATTATATGACAGAGGTGTAATTGTAACGAAAGGTATCATTATGAGGGATTCTTAAATGAGAAATCTGTGCTGTCACATTTCTGGGACACATGTTAGATCAACAAAGATGGCCTACTATGGTGGTTTGTATTGTCATACAAATATAACACATCAACATACACCAATGTATGTTTTCATTGTTGTAGATTTGGGTTGAGAAAACATTGTTCCACAGCCGAGCTTGTGTATGGAATATTCATTCCCTCTATATTGTACTAATTAGTGGTTCTGTGTATATATATTGTTTGGATTTTTACTGTTGTGATAAATATGTTCCATCACAGGGAATGCAGACTTAATGTCACATAGTTTATATATTTTGTTTTAGTTTTGCAGCCTAATGTTAAATATCTTAATAGTGATTAGGAAGGCTTAACCACACTGTGGGCCATATTGTACTTTTCAATTATTTCAATGGGCTATGCCAGTCCCAACAAATCTCTGTGAAGTTACAATATACAAATGTAACATATGGCCCATGACCTGTGGTGGCCTTCCTAACCCCTGAGGTCACTTCAACAAATTTGCATAACATCTAGCTCAACATTTTCAACACTATACAGGAAATTATAAAAATAACAAATCTACGGTTATTCCATTACGCTTGTGTGCATAAATGATAAAAACATATGAATGCATGTTATTACATTAACGTCAAATTCAATCTAGAAGCAGGAAATGACATCTGCACAAAGTCCTTCACCAGCATCTTGTACAAATTCTGGCATCATAGCACATGCACACAGTGAGTCTTTGATTCTGCTACCCTATCCCGAATGTAACACTTCTCCTTGCAAAACCTTAAAGCTTCGTTACATCACTAATCTAAACATTTCCTGACAGGAGACACCTTCATCCGTAACTTTATACTTGCATGTTTCACTTAGCACTTACTTACCATTTACATATATCCTATCATTTGGACCTATAAATAACCTTACTGTGTTAATGGGTGGGTATAGGTAGACATAGAATATCATGAATTTACTTTCATCTATAAAATCTCTTGTTCAACACTGACATAGATTCTCAATACAAAGAGAAATTCAGTTGTTTTCTCCATGAAAAATCTTAAGCTGGCAGTGCTCATATCCCACACTTTTCCTACAATAAGTTTATAACAAACTCCAGGGAACCTACTTCGTTGTTAGGTAATTATGGAATTCCTGGTGACATCATGTACCATATTCACTATAATTAACACCCCTCCCCCATATGCGCCCCTTCCTGCTGTTTTTGGAGCCACACTGGAATGTTAACAATCCTGTTATACTGTATGAACAGTGGAAGTTGCACAACTTGTTCTATCATAACTAAAATTTTATTATCCTAATAAGTGCCCCCGTTTAAACTTAGTACACTGGGTGCTTATTATGGTGAATATGTTAGATGATTTTGCAGTAAAAAAGAATTTGTATTAAGTATGCTATTATGACATCTAAACATAGGCAAAGAATTAATAACGACAGTGCAGGCAAAGAATTTGTCAAATTTTCAGGGCCATCCACCCCTTTAATATCAAGACACGAGCATGAAAATTTACATGTCACAACATATTACAGAGATAAACAGTCACCATGATATATATATATATAGTGCTGAACTGGATCAATTGCAGCTGTTGACCTGAGGTAGGTGACCTGAGATAGCTTATTATCTGTTTAGGATTCAGAGGTTAAAATCCCAGGCTGCCCCTGTCATTTTTCAATTCCTTTTTACTGTAATATTTGTAGTCATGCAATATTGATATGAGTTGCTGGCTAGGCCATGCTGGTTCTGTAAATATACAGCATAAAAAGTATCTTTAGCTTCACACTAACATAAACTCAGTTGTGTTTGTAATGAATACCATCCTCTCACAGAGTAAATGATATCCCTTCCCACTGGCTTCCACTTTGTAACCTGGGCCATATACTTGTCTCAAAGTTTCCCTCACCTATACCTCCGTAAAATGTGCTGAGTATATGTCTCCTGTAATTACCCTGTTAATGTGTTACCAATGTTATATGTACACAGCATCTTTTTAGATACTTTAGTGGTATGAAACTTATTCAATATTCAACTTGGAACCAAAGGAACTACACAAATTTGGACACAAAGAAATAAAATTTAATCTCATGTATACTTATATTATAATTAATCTTTTTAACATCTTTAGCTAGCTGTTCACGCATAAATTAACAATGCTACAAATGAAAAGGATTGATCCAAGTTTTTAAAACTATTCTTCTTTTTACTTAACTTGTGTTCTCCTCTTTAGTATCCCCCTCCTTCTCAGTTTCCTTTACTTTACAGGTACTTATATAAAACTGATATAATTATTTTGTACAGTGCTGAATAGGTTCACACGACAGTCTCACATCCTACAAAGCTCTTATTCTGTTGAAACTATTTTCTTTTCTAGAACAGTGCAGACACCCCAAATATTTGTCTCTTAATGCTCTTCATTAAAACTCTTTTTGTGACACGAATTCTACCAAGGGTTCCACAGGTACAAACAATATCTATTCAGTTACTTTGAAATTTATTTCAAAGGTGATAAGTCCGAAGTCAGTTGGCTAGAACCAATCTGTGTTTACCAGGTACGTCTGCAGGGTATACATAGAAATGCTGGAAATAGTCAACTACCAGCTCACGTTGAGCGTAAAGCTTCCTTCCAGACACTAACATCTCCAAATGGAATTTACTTGTTTCTGAGTTTACAGCTTTTTTGAAAATGAAAAAAATTACAGTACAATGTCATATACATGTATTTCAAATGAGGAAATGTTGGTGAAACTCATTGAGAAATCATAATCAGTGATTTTTCAGACAGATGTTTGAATTTTGAACTCCTGCTTTTCCTGTGGGACTCAACCACATCGTAAGAAGGAGGTACTATAGTTTATATAATCATTCAAGTTTAGTTATAACCATAATGATATTATTGCAGTTTGACAGTATGAAAATTTAGCCCAAGACTCCTCCCTATAGGGCCTGAGCTAAACTTGGCTAAAATTGCAACAATATTTTTCTTCAGACCCAAAAAATTGAAAGATCCTAAAGTGCTTTATCAAAATTGTGAATTTCATTAACCCCGGTCACCCATTCCCACTTTTTGGAGGAGCTAAAGTTTACTTAAGTTTGTATAGAAATTAACACTTTTGGGTGTATTTTGTTTATTTTTTGTGGCAAGTCATAATTCAAACTTGGTTTGAATATTTGATGGTATGAAAATTTAATACCAGACTCTCCCCTAGTGCCTGAGCGTCGGGGCCAAAAGGAGTCAAATTGGCTGAATTTTTTAACAATCCATTCACACCCAGATATGCTAGAACCAAATACTTTTCATTGATGGTAAGGTCCTAAGGTGTTTTATCACTATTCCTCCTTGTGAAACGATTACATTTTACTCCAGTGTTATTTAACTACTCTCTGACATTTACCAGCTTTATACATTGTGTATATGTTGGTCACTCCCCACCATCAATAGATTGTCTATTTGGAGAATGGGGGAGGGCGGTAATGTAGTCAACCCAGCTTTGGCATCCACATCAGCATCCTACTTCAAGATAAAGTTTTTGAGCAAGTTTTTCCAGACAGTGTTAGACCACCACATATTATATACAATAAGGTTTTTTTTGACTGATGAGGTTGAGGTTTTTATATGGAGGTAATACAAGCAATGTGTTGAACCATTATTCATATTTAGCTCACCTGGTCCGAAGGATCAAGGTGAGCTTATGCCATACCGTTGCGTCCGTTGTCCGAGCGTCGTCCGTCCGTCAACAATTGCTTTAAACGACTTCTTCTTCTTAACCACTGATTTGAATTGAACTAAATTTAACTGGAAGCATCCCTAGGTGGTGGGGATTAAAAATTGTACAAATGGTGGGGCTGACCCCCCAGGGGGCTGAGGGGCGGGGCCAAAAGGGGTCAATTTGGCTATATTGCTTTAAGCGACTTCTTCTCTGGAACAAAGAGATGGCTATCAACCATATTTGACTGAAAGTATCCCTAGGTAGTGGAGATTCAAAATTGTACAAATGTTGGGGGCTGACCCCCCAGGGAGCTGAGGGGCGGGCCAAAAGGGGGCAATTTGGCTATATTGCTACAAACAACTTCTGTAAAACTATGCACTTGATATCGATCATATTTGATCAAAAGCATTCATGGGAAGCAGGGATTCAAAATTGTACAAATGGTGTGGCTGACCCCCCAGGGGGCTGAGGGGTGGGGCAAAAGGGGGCAATTTGGCTATATTGCTACAAACGACTTCTGTAGAAATATGCACTGGATATCAACCTTATTTGACTGGAAGCATCCCTAGGTGGTGGGGATTCAAAATTGTACAAATGTTGGGGCTGACCCCCCAGGGGGATGAGGGGTTGGGCCAAAAGTGGGAAATGGTTGAGATTCCCACAGTATAACCATATATACAATTGTGGAGTATAAAGAGAAGAATGCACATTTGCTGCCCCACTCTTTGAGACATTGTCCCTGGGTCATAACTTTGAAACGATCCCCACCCCAGAACTATATATACAAATGCTTGGCATAAAGAGACAAAAGTAGTCATGGTATTAGAATAGACCCTGGGATCTGACTGAACCCCTAGGGACCTAGTTTCTTAAGTCACAGCTTGGAAACAGTTGAGATCCCCACCCTATAACCATGCATAGATACAATTGCTGAGTATAAAGAGATGAATGCCCATATGCTTCCAGGATGAGCTTGGGGTCTGCCCCACCCTTGGAGACTTAACCCCTGGGTTATAACTTTGAAATGATTAAGATCCCCACCCCAAAACTATATATACAATTGTTGGGCATAAAGAGACGAATGCAGTCATGATATTAGAATTGACTCCATGGTCTGCCCCACCCTTGCAGACTTAACCCCTGGGTCATAACTTTGAAACGGTTGAGATCCCCACCCGCAGACTATAAATACAAATGCTGGACAAAAAGAGACGAATGCAATCATGATATTAGAATTGATCCTGGGGTCTGGCCACAACCCTAGAGATCTAGTTTCTGAGTCACAGCTTGGAAACAGTTGAGATCCCCACCCCATAACCATACATTAAATTGCTGGGCATGAAGAATCTAATACAGACATACTACAGGAATTGGCATTGGGGTCTGGCATATTCCCTTTTCTCATTTGAAGAATATTTTGCTTAGATATCCAGGTGAGCGATACAGGCCCAGAGGGTCTGTTGTTTAGAGGCCAAAAGCAGCTTAATTGGACTTAATATTTAAGATTGTTTTTAGCAAGTTTTTTGTGCATTATTAGATCACCACACCAACTTGTAATTGGCTATTATAAGATTGAGGCATTACACAGAGTGTGAGCAATGTGTTTAACCATTATTCATATTCTAGGGGCCAAAACAACTTACTTTAAAATCAACTTGGTGTGGATCATTTTATGATGCTGTATTAATGTATTGTAATAGTTGGATATACAAAGATATATAAAACACTGCAACTTCACTGCATGAAGCCCGTCTTTACATTGTACAACAAAACCTCAAAATAACAAGACCAGTTTAGCAACGTACAACACATAATGATGCATGTACATGTACTTATATCACAAATAGGTGAGCTACCAGTTCTCCAATATCCTTTAAATTTCCTACATTTTTAAGAATTAATTCCCATATTCCTAGATTTTTTAACTGAAAGTGAGTGGACACCCTGTAAAAATTGTATATATTATAATGGCAACTCATTTTAAGAACCTGTATATAGGTAAGGTCTTTCTAGAGCTAAAAGTAAACTGTAAACATATGCTAATGTAGATTTCACACCAGGATATGCATCTGTCAATTACTTACTGGTAACTTCATCGTATGACACATTAAAAAAGATTGATAATGTGATCAGATGATAGAATAAAGTATGCACGTGATATTATGTACCCTTGTATATATTACATATACACTGTATATATCAATCTGTTGATCTACAAAACAGGATGGTTACTTCAAACAGCCATTTGAAGTAATAGGTGCTAGACCTCAATCATAACCATGTGATGTCAGGTGTGTATGGGAATGATAGACAACTTAAGTGATGATATTAACGCTTTGCTTGGATTCATTCTTAATGACACCTATTCACACTCCCTTGACAGTCACAATATCTGTAGGTTGTTTACATCCGTCCTTCGTCCTGCCATGGCAGTGTTTTTAGAATGCAGCTTGTGTTGTCAGACTAGATCACAATTTTGCCAGATGGTTGGTTTTATTTGTTTAATGTCCTATCAACAGCTAAGGTCATTTAAGGAAGTGCCTCCTTGTGATAGTGTGTATCTGATGCCGACTTTATAGTGCTATCTTACTGAAATACCATGCCGAAGACACCCAGCACAGCATTCCATCTAGACGCATTATACTGACAACCAGTTGTTGCCATTCCCTGAAATTTGGAACGTAGAGTAGTGAATAAAAACAACTGTTTTTAAAGACTTTGTTATGTCCCAGTCTGTGGACCTACCCCATTGGTCAAGTGTAATATTTATCCACACCTCCCATTGGTCTAGTATAACATGTATCTTCAACTGCCATTGGTCAAGTGTAATATTTATCCACTGCTCCAATTGGTCAAGTGTAATATTTATCCCCAGCTCCCATTGGTCTAGTGTAATGTTTACCCACAGCTACCATTGGTCTAGTGTAATATTTACCCACAGCTCCCTTTGGTCTAGTGTAATGTTTACCCACAGCTCCCTTTGCTCTAGTGTAATGTTTACCCACAGCTACCATTGGTCTAGTGTAATATTTACCCAAAGCTCCCATTGGTCTAGTGTAATGTTTATCCACAGCTCCCATTGGTCTAGTGTCATGTTTACCCACAGCTCCCATTGGTCAAGTGTAATGTTTACCAACACCCACAGCTCCCATTGGTCAAGTGTAATGTTTACCAACACCCACAGCTCCCATTGGTCAAGTGTAATATTTACCCACAGCTCTCATTGGTCTACTGTCATATTTCTCCACAGCGCCCATTGGTCAAGTGTAATGTTTACCAACACCCACAGCTCCCATTGGTCAAGTGTAATATTTATCCAAAGCCCCCATTGGTCAAGTGTAATAATTATCCACAGCTCCCATTGGTCAAGTTTAATGTTGACCCACACCCACAGCTCCCATTGGTCAAGTGTAATATTTATCCCCAGCTCCCATTGGTCTAGTGTAATATTTGCCCACAGCTCTCATTGGTCTAGTGTAATATTTATCCACAGCTCCCATTAGTCTAGTGTAATATTTATCCACAGCTCCCATTTGTCAAGTTTAATGTTTACCCACACCCACAGCTCCCATTGGTCAAGTGTAATGTTTACCCACACCCACAGCTCCCATTGGTCAAGTGTAATGTTTACCCACAGCTCCCATTGGTCTTGTGTAATATTTACCCACAGCTCCCATTGGTCTTGTGTAATATTTACCCACAGCTCCCTTTGGTCTAGTGTAATGTTTACCCACAGCTCCCATTGGTCTAGTATAACATGTATCTTCAGCTCCCATTGGTAAAGTGTAATATTTATCCACAGCCCCCATTGGTCTAGTGTAATGTTTATCCACAGCTCCCATTGGTCAAGTTTAATGTTTACCCACACCCACAGCTCCCATTGGTCAAGTGTAATGTTTACCCACAGCTCCCATTGGTCTAGTATAACATGTATCTTCAACTCCCATAGATAAAGTGTAATATTTATCCACAGCCCCCATTGGTCAAGTGTAATATTTATCCACAGCTCCCATTGGTCTAGTATAATATTTACCCACAGCTCCCATTGGTCTAGTATAATGTTTACCCACAGCTACCATTGGTCTAGTGTAATATTTATCCACAGCCCCCATTGGTCTAGTGTAATATTTACCCACAGCTCCCATTGGTCTAGTGTAATGTTTACCCACAGCTCCCATTGGTCTAGTGTAATATTTATCCACAGCTCCCATTGGTCTAGTGTAATATTTACCCACAGCTCCCATTGGTCTAGTGTAATATTTATCCACAGCTCCCATTGGTCTAGTCTAATATTTTTTCAGTTTCTGTTGGTCTATGATACATATTTGATGATTGGTTACAGGTTCAGCTACAAACACAGCAGGAGAAAGTCAAGGTCACCACACTGGTTGGTCGTATCCTGAAGAATGATGGTATTATGGGATTGTACAATGGGTTGTCTGCCTCTGTCTGTAGACAGGTAAGGAATGAAGGGTGACCTACCCTGCCAAGCTACCTTTTTAAAGTGAGTACCAGTAGCTTGCTAAATCGATGTTCATGGTACAATTTGATTTTTAAAAAAAAGCATTTCAGCTACTATTACACTAAACACTGCATTGTTAATGATATATACAGATTATATTTTTCCAATGTCACTCAAATTTTGTATTAGATTAATTCACATGAATGTGTATTTTGATACTGATGATTTTTATTAATTTCACAATCTTTGCTCTCACAAGACTAACAATAAACAGAAAGAGTAACTGTTTGTCCTGTTTCAGCTGACCTACTCCATGACCCGGTTTGCTATGTACGAGACCGTTAAGAAGCAGCTGACAAGTGACGGCAGTGTGATGCCGTTTTACCAGAAGGTAGCTACTGCTGCTGTGTCTGGGGCTACAGGAGGTTTTGTGGGCACACCTGCAGATCTCATTAATGTTAGGTGAGTTATAATTGACTTAGGTAAGATATGATGATTTACTTAAGTATGAACAATATATTTCCAATAAAAGGCTGTTTTGTTAAACTCTTACTAAGACTGTGTATCTACAAGCAACAGTCGATCTTGGTCACTAAGTTAAGAGTTAAGTATGATGAGTAGAAAATTAAAATTTCACACTGCTATCTCTTTGCTTGTATTGGTGTGATAAAATATTTGTGTTCTGTTTAAAGGATGTCATCATCTGACCCTGAGAACTGAATTTTAGCAAGGCTTTACTTTAATTACCTGACATTTATTAAAGTTCTCTTCTCAATTAAAATCAAAATCTAACTTTATTTTTCTTTCAGGATGCAGAATGATGTTAAACTTCCTAAAGACCAAAGAAGGAAGTAAGTAATTGATTTTAAACTTAAATGGCTGGTTAAAAAATCAATCAATATGTTGAGTAAAAGTAAATAAGATGTTAAGAAGTAGTGACTTACTAATATTATGTATGGTGTACACTGTACTGGGCTTTAGTGATGTAAAACCAAAATATAATAGAGAACAGATAAGAAGTATTTCTGTACTTCAGAACGCAATACCTCTTTTTACCAGGACATTTGCCGAAGTGTGGAGGGGTCTTATTTGCGAGAGGGGGCTTATTTGTGAGAGGGAGCTTATTTGTGAGAGGGGGCTTATTTGCTAGAGGGGCTTATTTGCAAGAGGGGGCTTATTTGCGAGATGGGCTTATTTGCGGTCAAATATGATATACATGTAGTTAGGTTTATGTTTTGAAGTATGGAGGTAGGATTGGAAGTACAGACACTTTTGAATGCATCATAGCATAACTTCAATTCACTAATAACTATATTTTTTAACTCACCTGGCCTGAATGGCCATGCTATTTGGCCAGTAGGTACCTGGGATGGAGTGCTATTTTAACATTTTTAGTTTTTTCATTAAAATGACCTTGACCTACTTTCAAGGTCACAGGGGTTCATTATGTTAAAAACTTCAAACAACAATATCTTAAGAACCAATTGGTCTAGAGTCATGATACTTGGGTATGTTATGAAGACCAGCTGTGTGAATCGTTTTCTTTATTATGAGGTCAAAGGTCAACTTTAAGTGCTAGCCAGAGTCAAAGGTCAAAGTGGGTTAAAAGCTTTAAAATCAAAATTTCAAACAACAATATCTTAAGAACCGTTTAAGAAATGTTAAAATGTCTTTCGTTCTAGTTACCAAATTTGGTCTGAAGTTACCTTTATGTCAGTTTCAGAAAAGAAACAGGTGAGTGATACAGGCCCTTTTGGCCTCTCGTTTAGCTTACATTGCCCAAGGGTCAAAACTGGCAGATTCCCGAGCCTATCAAGAGACATCAAATATATGAATATTAATGTGTGTGATGACATTGCAGTTACAAGCATGCATTTGACGGCCTGTATCGGGTGTTCCGGGAGGAGGGTGTCCGGAGGATGTTTTCTGGTGCTTCCATGGCCAGCTCTCGAGCTGTAATGGTTACTGTGGGTCAGGTATGTACCATAATTACCAGGCGCTCTTTATCTTTAGCCTCACTTATTAAGTACAAGACCATTCCTATCCTTCATTTCCTGTTTTGCTGAGTTAAGTTACTGTTTTGATGTATCTTTTAAGTTTTAACTACATTTTGTTCTGATATTTGGTATTTTCCTAAGCAATAAGTCTGGCCGTTTGGTCAAAAGCTAAGAACATCTATTGAATTGAATAAAACCCAGGTCACTCAGACATTTCATTTGTTTGCACTGTCATTATCACTCTAATGATTATAGATAATAATGGATCTGAAGATGATAAGTAAACATCATTTAATCTTTGCATTAACTACTGTTAATTGAACAAAATGTCTATTGTAGCTTGCTGGCTATGACCAAATAAAACAAATGTTGATGGGGTCAGGCTACTTCAAGGACAACCTAGTCACACATTTCACCTCCAGCACACTGGCAGTAAGTTGTAGACCTAGTGACATCTGTCTAAATATCCTGGTAATAACCCTGTCCCATCCCACCTCAACCTCTCCGCAAAGGAATTGTGTGTACAATACATCCCAAGACTAAGTGGATGGATTTATTTCTATTGAATCCAATATATAATGTTGGTGGTGAGTAACTTTCTGGACTTCCCATTGTGTGGGAAGTATAAACTACAAATCATTAGTTAATACATGTTCCCGTCAGTATTTGGTGTTCAGAGATTTTGATTGGTGGATTGATGTAGTGGTTAAATCTCTGCCCTTACAGTAAAATGTACAATTTTAAAAGAAATTAACCTTCTGCCTACCACTCTTCAGGACTTGTTACCGGAATGGTAGGTAGGATAGGACTCGAAGCCAAAGGTAGGTAGGATAGGACTCGAAGCCAAAGGTAGGTAGGATAGGACTCCAGGCCAAAGGTAGGTAGGATAGGACTCGAAGCCAAAGGTAGGTAGGATAGGACTCGAAGCCTAAGGTTCCATGTCTCTATGTATACCTGTACAGAGTAAGAGGCGGTTATATATAGCTATTGCAGAGGATGCTTATTTCAGGAAGGACTCAAACACATAGATCATACTATGAACTGATTCTCCCCATGAAATACTTTATGATTGAACAGGATCAAGATTAAACTGTGTTAATGTTTTGTAGGGGACCCTGGCTACCTTCCTCACCATGCCCCTGGATGTAATGAAGACGCGGATGATGAATGCGGCTCCTGGCACCTACTCTGTAAGTGAGAAATGATAACTGCATAGAATAATGAAAGTCTTATTTTGTTTCATGTAAAATTTGTGAAACAATTCTGAAAGCACTGCCAAGCTAAAATATAGAGACAAATTAAAGATAATTTTTTATCACAAAAGCAAGAATCTATGCCAATCGTCTGAAAGTAATAAACTCTCATTGCTATCATCTTGAAGTCTATTATGTCACTTCTATTGTCCTAATTAGGACATCGTAATTGAGTCACCTGTGACTATACTACACTAGTTACATTATTATATTTTCCATTGCATGGTATTGCTATAATTTACCCAATCACATTCAGATGACATTCATATCAGCTATGAATGCCATAACCTGATTGTTGACGGCCATCATGAATGAATGCCAATGGTACCATGAAAGGCTGTCTGAATGTCTGCTAAATCGGACCCACTGTCTGTGATGGGTTATGATATATCAAAATTATCACATTCTTATCAAATTCTGTATTTTTGTGTACCTTTCTTGGGTACAAACTCATTGACTATGTCCCATTTTCACCTTATTATCAAATTTACTACCTGAATCAACTGGAATATGATATAGTCAGGTTATGTATAGTTTACTATTCCTTAATTATAAAAGCTATGCTGTTCAAATCACCCTAAATCAAAGGTACATTCATTCGTCTGTTGTCAGTCATCTGTCTGTCAATACTTGTTAGTGCTATTTCTCAAAAAGGACCAGAGGGATCTTTCTCAAACTTAACATTTCGGTTCCCTATGGTCCTTACCTGTAGTTATGTATATCACATTTCGGTTCCCTATGGTCCTTACCTGTAGTGATGTTTCACACATTTAGGTTCCCTATGGTCCTTACCTGCAGTGATGTGTAACACATTTATGTTCCCTATGGTCCTTACCTGTAGTTATGTTTAACACATTTATGTTTCCTATGGTCCTTACCTGTAGTTATGTTTAACACATTTATGTTTCCTATGGTCCTTACCTGTAGTTATGTTTAACACATTTATGTTTCCTATGGTCCTTACCTGTAGTTATGTTTAACACATTTATGTTCCCTATGGTCCTTACCTGTAGTGATGTGTAACACATTTATGTTCCCTATGGTCCTTACCTGTAGTGATGTGTAACACATTTATGTTCCCTATGGTCCTTACCTGTAGTGATGTGTAACACATTTATGTTCCCTATGGTCCTTACCTGTAGTGATGTGTAACACATTTATATTCCCTATGGTCCTTACCTGTAGTTATGTTTAACACATTTATGTTTCCTATGGTCCTTACCTGTAGTTATGTTTAACACATTTATGTTTCCTATGGTCCTTACCTGTAGTTATGTTTAACACATTTATGTTTCCTATGGTCCTTACCTGTAGTTATGTTTAACACATTTATGTTCCCTATGGTCCTTACCTGTAGTTATATATAATGCATTTAGGTTCCCTATGGTCCTTACCTGTAGTGATGTTTCACACATTTTTGTTCCCTATGGTCCTTACTTGTAGTTATGTATAACACATTTCGGTTCCCTATGGTCCTTCCCTGTAGTTATGTATAACACATTTCGGTTCCCTATGGTCCTTCCCTGTAGTTATGTATAACACATTTCGGTTCCCTATGGTCCTTGCCTGCAGTTATGTATAACACATTTAGGTTCCCTATGGTCCCTACCTGTAGTTATGTATAACACAATTAGGTTCCCAATGGTCCTTTCCTGTAGTGATGTTTCACACATTTATGTTCCCTATGGTCCTTACTTGTAGTTATGTATAGTTCCCTATGGTCCTTACCTGTAGTTATGTATACCACATTTAGGTTCCCTATGGTCCTTACCTGTACTTATGTGTAACACATTTAGGTTCCCTATGGTCCTTACCAGTAGTTATGTGTAACACATTTAGGTTCCCTATAGTCCTTACCTGTAGTTATGTATAACACATTTCGGTTCCCTATGGTCCTTCCCTGTAGTTATGTATAACACATTTCGGTTCCCTATGGTCCTTGCCTGCAGTTATGTATAACACATTTAGGTTCCCTATGGTCCTTAACTGTAGTTATGTATAACACATTTAGGTTCCCTATGGTCCCTACCTGTAGTTATGTATAACACAATTAGGTTCCCTGTGGTCCTTACCTGTAGTTATGGATAACACATTTAGGTTCCCTATGGTCCTTACCTGTACTTATGTGTAACACATTTAGGTTCCCTATGGTTCTTACCTGTAGTTATGTGTAACACAATTAGGTTCCCTATGGTCCTTACCTGAAGTTATGGATAACACATTTAGGTTCCCTATGGTCCTTACCTGTAGTGATGTTTCACACATTTTTGTTCCCTATGGTCCTTACTTGTAGTTATGTATAACACATTTCGGTTCCCTATGGTCCTTACCTGTAGTGATGTGTAACACATTTATATTCCCTATGGTCCTTACCTGTAGTTATGTTTAACACATTTATGTTCCCTATGGTCCTTACCTGTAGTGATGTGTAACACATTTATGTTCCCTATGGTCCTTACCTGTAGTTATGTTTAACACATTTATGTTCCCTATGGTCCTTACCTGTAGTGATGTGTAACACATTTATATTCCCTATGGTCCTTACCTGTAGTTATGTTTAACACATTTATGTTCCCTATGGTCCTTACCTGTAGTTATATATAATGCATTTAGGTTCCCTATGGTCCTTACCTGTAGTGATGTGTAACACATTTATATTCCCTATGGTCCTTACCTGTAGTTATGTTTAACACATTTATGTTCCCTATGGTCCTTACCTGTAGTTATGTTTAACACATTTATGTTTCCTATGGTCCTTACCTGTAGTTATGTTTAACACATTTATGTTCCCTGTGGTCCTTACCTGTAGTTATATATAATGCATTTAGGTTCCCTATGGTCCTTACCTGTAGTTATATATAACGCATTTAGGTTCCCTATGGTCCTTACCTGTAGTGATGTTTCACACATTTATGTTCCCTATGGTCCTTACTTGTAGTTATGTATAACACATTTCGGTTCCCTATGGTCCTTACCTGTAGTTATATATAATGCATTTAGGTTCCCTATGGTCCTTACCTGTAGTTATGTATAACACATTTNTTACGCGTGCTATTTCCGCGCGCGCGCTAAAAGTTTTGCCGCAATGCGTGACGTACAAAATTACACGGAAGGCTGATTTCCGTTACATACGAACGCGTATAGCTAAATACCACAAATATATTAAAAGTAATAATGACAAATAATGACACTACTACACATACATGGCCTACAGGTGTCAATCTTGAATTTTGAGAGTTCAAGTGTTAGTGCTATTTCTCAGAAAGTACTTGAGGGATCTTTCTCAAATTTCACATGAAGTTTTCTCATGGTGCTTTATTATGCATGGTGAAATTGTTTACTTATTGGGAAACAATGATGGCCAACAGGTGACCATCTTGAATTTTGGGAGACTAAGTTTGTTAGCACTATTTCTCAGAAAGTACTGAAGGGATCTTTCTCAAACTTCACCTGAGGGTTCCCCATGGTCCCTAGTTTTGCACTTTGATTTAAGGACTGATAGAAAAACCAAGATGGCCATGAGGTGTCCATCTTGAATTTTGAAAGCTAAATTTTGTTGATTTAAACAATATTTTATTTCATTGGTCATATGTTACAAGTACACACACAAATGGCAACAAGATTTTAAATTCTATATAAGGCCATCTCCCTTGAAATGTTATTACAGTAGAGAAGTACTTAACATGCAATTAGTTGGTACACATAGATTGTTTATATCTATAGTTTGTAATAACACTCCATTTTATGTAATGAACCAAAGATCATAAGAAGGTATGATAAATGAAAGAAAAAAGTTTGTTAGCACTATTAAGCACTGGTGTTTGGAACCAGTTACCTGGGTTTATACTTAGAGTTCAAATGAATATGCATGTACATTGATGTTTACAAAGAATTCAAATAAAAATGCATGTATATTGACGTTTACAGAGTTTAGGAGCGTGTGCATTGGACATCGGTAAACATGGACCACAAGGCTTCTTCAAGGTAAGATTTCTTTAAATTGTAGTTCGAAAAGATAAAAAAATCTGATTGAATATCATTATATTTAGGTAACATACAGATACAGTTAACTCGTTTATCATTGTTATTTATCACATACCTGTTGAATCTTGTTATAGTAATACAAGCAATTTTCAGACCATGAAATACAACGTTCTGTGTTGCACATGTGCAATACGGAATATTGTATTTACCTACTAGCCAGAACTAGCCAGAACTACTTTTTATGGGAATTCTCTTGTCATCCAGGAACTTTTCAGTACACCATGACAAGGGGATTCCCATAAAAACTAGTTCCGGTTAGTAGGTAAATACAACATTCCGTATTGCACATGTTCAATACAGAATGTTGTATTTCATGGTCTAAAAATTGCTTGTTTTACTATAACAAGATTCAACAGGTATGTGATCAATATGCAAGTCCACACACTTGTGTTTTTCTAGTGAATCAGAAAGCACAAGTTTATTGCCCAGACGAATATACCACGCACGAGTGAATATATACGTCCGCGCAATAAATGAGTGCTTTCTGATACATTAGAAAAACACAAGTACATGGTCTTGCATATTTATTTACTGATCAGTGTTATCTATCTTCTCTATCTAGGTTTGTAGTGTGGGTGTTCTGTTACTATGACAACCTCACCTGTCTAGGATTGTCATGTTAGTGTCCTGTTATTATGATAACATCCCCTGTCTAGGATTGTAATGTTAGTGTCCTGTTACTATGACAACATCACCTGTCTAGGATTGTAATGTTAGTATCATGTTACTATGACAACATCACCTGTCTAGGATTGTAGGGTTAGTGTCCTTTTACTATGATAACATCACCTGTCTAGGATTGTAATGTTAGTGTCCTGTAACTATGACAACATCACTTGTCTAGGATTGTAATGTTAGTGGCCTGTAACTATGACAATAACACCTGTCTAGGATTGTAATGTAAGTGTCCTGTTACTATGATAACATCACCTGTCTAGGATTGTAATGTAAGGGTCCTGTTACTATGATAACATCATCTGTCTAGGATTGTAATGTTAGGGTCCTGGTACTATGACAACATCACCTGTCTAGGGTTGTAATGTTAGTGGCCTGTTACTATGATAACATCCCCTGTCTAGGATTGTAATGTAAGTGTCCTGTTGCTATGATAACATCACCTGTCTAGGATTGGAATGTTAGTGTCCTTTAACTATGACAACATAACCTGTCTAGGATTGTAATCTTAGTGTCCTGTTACTATGACAACATCACCTGTCTAGGATTGTAATGTTAGTGTCCTTTAACTATGACAACATAACCTGTCTAGGATTGTAATGTTAGTGTCCTGTTACTATGACAACATCACCTGTCTAGGATTGTAATGTTAGTGGCCTGTTACTATGATAACATCACCTGTCTAAGATTGTAATGTAAGTGTCCTGTTATTATGACAACATAACCTGTCTAGGATTGTAATGTTAGTGTCCTGTTACTATGACAACATCACCTGTCTAGGATTGTAATGTTAGTATCCTGTAACTATGACAACATCACCTGACTAAGATTGTGGTTATCTCTGTTTACAGGGTTTTATTCCTGCCTTTGTTAGATTGGGACCTCACACTGTCTGTACCTTCATGTTTCTGGAGCAGATCCGTATGAATTTCGGGGATGATCCAAAATAGAACTTTGGTTGATCACAATCCATACTAATGTGTTTCCTCAGGGCAACAATCATTATCTTCCTCCAAAGTCAAACCAGGGACCTTAAATTTACTTACTGAATTATTCCGATGCATTGATATCAGATGTGCCAAAGATATCAACATCTGCTCACAAGAGTGAAGAATGTAAGTTTATGTGATAGTCATACCAGATATCTAATAAACCACAGACACCTCTAGTCAGAAAGTACCATTAAATAACCAATATCAAATGTACATAGAAACCTTCTAGTATTTTACACATTCAAGTTATATAAAATAACAGTTAGTAGTGTATTATTGAAAACAAATGTTGAGTAACAGTTGTAGATGAATGCGATTTTATATTAAGATCACAGTTGTTTTATTTATATCCATTTACATGTTATTGCGTACAACAATATATCTTAATTCTAAGAGACGAACATGCATGTGAAAAAGAGTTTTGTTAAAGGTTTAATTCTTGTCATGGTATATGAATTTAGCAGTTTCACTTTTACAATAGTTATTTACAAATATTTAATGTTAATGTTTAAAACAATTAACAGCAAAGTCTGCTTTCATATCTTTGACCTTTATTCTTTATACAAGGAATGTGTGAAGGGGGACCTTGGGGAGGAGGGGACAAGGAAGGTGTGAAGGGGGACTTTGGGGAATAGGGACAAGGAAGGTGTGACGGGGGACCTTGGGGAGGAGGGGACAAGGAAGGTGTGAAGGGGGACCTTGGGGAGGAGGGGACAAGGAAGGTGTGAAGGGGGACCTTGGGGAATAGGGACAAGGAAGGTGTGACGGGGGACCTTGGGGAGGAGGGGACAAGGAAGGTGTGAAGGGGGACCTTGGGGAGGAGGGGACAAGGAAGGTGTGAAGGGGGACCTTGGGGAGGAGGGGACAAGGAAGGTGTGAAGGGGGACCTTGGGGAGGAGGGGACAAGGAAGGTGTGAAGGGGGACCTTGGGGAGGAGGGGACAAGGAAGGTGTGAAGGGGGACCTTGGGGAGGAGGGGAAAAGGAAGGTGTGAAGGGGGGCCTTGGGGAGGAGGGGTTTATACTTAATTATATCAACTCTGATGTATCAAGCTTTGATAGCTATCAAAATAAGTCACTTATATCAACTTTATCTGCAATGTGGGCCCTCTTGCAGAATATTGATTTTTTCCTTGTCCTTTTCTTGGTAACTCGGAGGAGACAAAATTGATCTGTTGCCTCAATAACAATGCCTACAAATTGTGACCCCTATCTTTCCATTCCTCTTCTTGTCTTGTTAGCCTGTTGTCCGAATAATGTTACCAAGCGGGATGTCGTGTTTACCTGTTATAACATCTAGGTGACAACACCCTAAAATCACCCCGAGTAGCCTCCTTCATTATGGTCACTGCTCAGTTGTCCTTTGTACCAGCATCAGTGGGCACATTCTTCTGTCATTGTATGACCTCAGTTATTGTCATATGACCTAAGCTGTCATGTGATCTCAGCTATTGTCATATGACCTAAGCTGTCATGTGACCTCAGCTGATGTCATATGAAATCAGCTGTCATCATGTGACCTTAGCTGTTTCATATGACTTGAACTATAGTTGTATAACCTCGCTGTTATCATACAACTTCAGCTGTTGCAAAGACGTAGAAATCCCAAAGAAGCAATCTAGTTTTGTATCTATAATTATCGTAGATGATATCAGATTATGCCTGTGATTGGATATGATAGTGTCAATGTCAGTTAACACACAAAACTACTTTCAATTTTCAAACATTTAAAAAAGATTCAGAAAATGTGATTATTTTGTATACTGAAGCTTGATACAACACTTCACTAATTGATGCTACAATGTTTTTTAAGCAAAATTATCATGTGATCACTTCCAGGTGTAAATGGGATGGATGTTAACCAGATGTCAGTGTGTGTGTCTACATGTTGCCTTTTGTTGACATATATATATAATGTAAAGCTGTGCTTTAAATTACTTCCTTTCTAGAAAATTGTTACCTTTGTTTCCTTTTAGCACTGTCTTTATGCTGCTAGATGATTTTGTAAATGGTTTTGTTGCTTTAGATTTCCTAATCATTCTTAACAGTTCATTTTATGCTCAAGAGCCTTGGTGAAATCAAATAGAGTGCTGTCCATCCACTGTTAATATATCATGTTTACAACAACTGCTCTACTGGGGAGATTTCACTAGCACATTGTGTTGATGTCATTGGTACATTGTGTTGATGTCATTGGTACAGTATAATGATGTCATTGGTACAGTATAATGATGTCATTGGTACAGTATAATGATGTCATTGGTAGTGTTATGATGTTATTGGCACAGTGTGATGTCATTGGTAGTGTTATGATGTTATTGGCACAGTGTGATGATGTCATTGGTACATTGTGTTGATGTCATTGGTACAGTATGATGTCATTAGCACATACGGATGATGTCATTTGAACGTTGTGATGTCATTAGACCATTGTGATAATACCAGTTGCACATTGTGGTCATGTAATTAGCACATTGTGATGTCATTGTCATATTGTGAGGATGTCATTGTCACATTGTGAGGGTGTCATTAGCACATTGTGATGTTTTCTCATTGCTAATGCTCATTCTGTACCCCCCTCCCCACAAATTGGCACAAAGTGTTTTAATCATGATCACATTGTTTACATTCGGTATTCATTAAAGTGAAGTACCAAGTGAGAAAGTATTAATTCCTTGTTTTTGTAAAGCAGCTATAGAACCATACAGAACCGTAAGTGATTCTGATTGTAAACAGGAGCGGCATAAGCTTTAATTTTGTTGATGATTACAATTGGAAATTCACTACTGAATGACTTTTTAACTTTCAATCTATTAAGTGCTCATATCCTTACAAGGATGTGTACAGCTGTAGAGGGAACTCTACACAATTCTCAATATTGTTAGCACTCCGAGCACTTAATAAGTTGAATATAGTAATGTATTCCTTGATTTTCTTCTTTAATTTTGAAATGTTTAAATTTTTTGATTGTTATTAATTTCCATTTTATGTAGAAATCATCATTATATAAGGTTCCGATTGAGGTGAACGTGTTCAAGATTACAAATCAAAATTGTATTAAAATGAATAGCTGAATTCTGTTTTTCTCATTTATCTTCAGTATGTTGGCCATGCTATACATACCTGGTGGAGGTACATACATTACAGTGATATACAGAGGACTTGAACAGTAACTGACCTGACAAAATCAATATGGCATTAAAAACAACGGATATTCAGCCTCGATGGCAATGTGGAAAACAAGATTTTGAAAATAGTTTACGTAATTCTTCAAATTGTTTCCATTTCTTGTGACATTTATTTAACTCGTTCCAAAGCTTTCTAAGCCCAACAGAGCTTCAATAAAGTGGATATATCTAAGACTTGTTTAATAAATCTCATATAAAATTGAAACAAATCAAAGATTAGTCAAGAATATATGGTATTTCATGATGATTAGGTGGCAAAGTGGAAGGCGCGATTGCTATTCACAAAGAAGGTTCATTCCCTATTGGAAAGGGTATGGGTCACTTATTTACCTGTCCGACCCTGCAGGTTTTCTCTGTGTACACCGATTTCCTCCCGAAAGCCTCTAGAGTTACTGTATTACATTACGAAACATAATTTTGTATTATTGTTGGCTGTAAGTGGTTTATATTTACTCTGCTATGTTACAGTAAGGAAAAACACAACACATTTTTTAAGTTCAGTCATAAGCACGAGCTTTATTGACAGTCGTCAAACAGGTAGTATCTTTGTAGAAATATTATATGCCTTTAAATGAATAAATTATACACCTAAAAATAGAATCACTCTTTTGATGTAGATAAAATATATACACAACAAGTAAGATAAATGTTGCCAGCTGGCCACCAGTGCCAGATTTGGATGGCTGACACAAAATGGATCACAAGTGTCATATATCTAGGATGGCAGACACCCAGCATGCCACCAGTGTCATACATAGGATGGCTGTCACCCAGCACGCAACCAGTGTTAGATCTAGGATGGCTCACCACCAGTGTTAGATCTAGAATGGCAGACACCCAGTGTGCCACCAGGGTTAGATCTAGAATGGCAGACACCCAGTGGGCCACCAGTGTTAGATCTAGAATGGCAGACACCCAGCATGCCACCAGTGTTAGATCTAGGATTGCAGACACCCAGTGTCATACATAGGATGGCAGACACCAGGCACACCACCAGTGTTAGATCTAGGATGGCAGACACCCGGCACGCCACCAGTGTTAGATCTAGAATGGCAGACACCCAGTGTGTCACCAGTGTCATACATAGGATGGCAAACACCCGGCACGCCACCAGTGTTAGATCTAGAATGGCAGACACCCAGTTGGCCACCAGTGTTAGATCTAGGATGGCAGACACCCAGCATGCCACCAGTGTTAGATCTAGGATGGCAGACACCCAGTGTCATACATAGGATGGCAGACACCAGGCACACCACCAGTGTTAGATCTAGGATGGTAGACACCCAGTGGGCCACCAGTGTTAGATCTAAGATGGCAGACACCCAGCATGCCACCAGTGTCAGATCTCGGATGGCTGACATCCTGCTCGCCATCAGTGCCAGTTTAAGATGGGGGTCGGCCACCAGTGTCATATCTAGGTTGGCAGATGTTCATTACAGGCTCAATGTTACCACGGTGATTGCCATCCATCTACAGAAGATGTTCAGCTATGCTAATTTTACTGTCCCAGACTTTTTCTACGACACACCAAAAGTTAAGTTACAGAATAATGATACATCAATACTTAGATATATTTTTATAGGTAGATATTGACAGCATTTAGACTGTGATGTTATTTTTTAAAAATCTGTTGGCAAATATTTATTTTTTAAATAGCTGGACGATGAAGCTGAACATCTTCCTCTGATAACAAAATATACCAATAGATAGCACTAATGAATTGTATAAAATCAACAATTCTAAGGACAAGTCATACAAATAGAGAAACAATATAATAATAACAAATTGAGCATACATTCATACAAAGCTTGTCCCTATAGTAACCAGGTGATTGTAATAATGATTAAGATATAATCTGGTGATAACAGGTGTTGGCACATTGCTCAGTAATCTACACACATTATAACGCTCAGAAATCTACACACATTATAACAATCAGAAATTAATGGGAAAATGGAAATTATTGCATTTTGATTTTCTTTCTGATTAAAATTGTCTAGCCAGGTATGTCAAGGATTCACAATAACTTAGGATTAGATCATGAACAAGCATCTAGACATCAACTATCACAGTGTCATAACATGAACATCAACGGGTCGTTAATTTTGGCAATTTGTCTACCGGGTTGGCAGGCATGGTTACACAAATTATTACCATCAGAAAGTCATCATATGGTTTCAAACACTCCTTCAATAAAGTAATGGAAAACAGTGATAAAAAGACCAGTAACGCCTCCCATTCCTAACAAAGTATATGTTACAGGCACAACTAGTTCCCCGATACCAACATTTATTATAACACTTTAGAGAACTGAGGGGTTCCCATCCATACCCTCCCAATGTAACGGTGTAAAACACTTATAAATAAAGAACAGAAGAACTGAGGGGTTCCCATCCATACCCTCCCATTATAATGGGTTAAGACACTTATAAAGAGAAAACAAGACTGGTTCCCATCTATACCCTTCCATTATTATGGATGATTAAGACACTTATAGAGAACTGAGGGGCTCCCATCCATACCCTCCCATTATAATGGATGCAGACACTTAAACTTAGAACTGAGGGGTTCCAATCCATACCCTCCCATTATAATGGATGCAGTCACTTAAACTTAGAACTGAAGGGCTCCCATCCATACCCTCCCATTATAATGGATTAAGACACTCGTGGAGAAAGATACGAGGGAATCCAACCTATACCCTTTCAATGAAGATTAAGACACTTAAAATCATAGAACAGAGGGGCTCCCATCCATACCCTCCCACTATAATGGATTAAGACACTTAAACTGAGAACTAAGGGGTTCCCATCCATACCCTCCCATATAATGGCTTTAGACACTTGTAAACAGAGAACTGAGGGGCTCTGGCTTGGGGAGAATGATGAACAAATCTGAAATTCTTTTTTACTATGTCTCTGATTCATCACTCAATCATATCTACCTGTTTAAACCAATCACAAAATCATATTGTTTAAATGATATCACTGGAGGTGTCAGCTTGAGTAAATAGATCAGCACTTTTTTAAATATACAACAATTCAAGTGGTTGTTTACATATTCTGTAATATGAGCACTAATTGAGATTTTTCTTTTCATTATTTTATAATGCAATGTAACAGTACAACTATGTTGTAATAAAAACCAAAATTGTTGAAACACATTTCCTACACAAAAATTAAGAAAAATCATTTGAATGCAGCAATTTATCGGTAGGTAAATATGATTACATCTAATGTAATACCTAGTAATTCTTGTATGAAAATAAACATTCTAGCAGGACGGAATGTAAGAGTAACAAAAAGAAACAACAGAAAAATCCTATTCATAGATGGGATCATTGTCAAATTTACAACTTTTCTAAACTCTAATATTCCAGGGTTTCATTGCCAGAGTCACTAGAAAGTGTTGGTGATTTTCTCTGTAGCTGCTGAGCAACCCATTGGCACAATAATGTCATGTACATACACGTATATACTTCTGTTTGTTACAGAGTAAACAGGACCAATAAACAAATCCCTGGATTAGTAAAGGATCCTTCATATCACCCACACATTGATTTCAAACAGGAAGGACCATCAACTGCCTAGATAGATATTTTCCATTCAATACTGACAGGTCTTTCATCACAAAAGCACTGGGATAAAATTGACAGTTTAATATAAAAAAAAGTTGATAAAACTTAACAAAAATGTGCCATTATAAACTGTTTAGAAAACGATGAAAATTTGACACGACTTCATCCATCTTGGTTTTTTTCTGGAATGTGGTTCAATAAACTGAACAAATATAACAATACATTAACAGATCTATACACACTGGCACAGGATTCTACAAACATTAGTCTGACATGGAGGTAGCCCAAACCCAACACAAAATAAGTCTAAATACATGGACGGCATAAATACCTTATCACTGGACAGAAAACATGTAATACCCCATATATCCACTATCATTGGAAGGTATATATAATAGATTATCAGATCCTGTATGTATAACACTTTTTTATTGGACGGTATATGTATAAAAAGTAATTAACAGGTGGGAATGTATAAAACATTATCATTGGACGGTATGTTTTTCATATAGTCAGTTTACATAATTTTGATACAATTTCATGTGGATAACAGTTATACTCTCTATATTTATTAGCTATAGTGTGGATGGTTAGCATTAGTTGACTTTGAATAACGAAGCACTGACGAGGTTCAAGCTTATATTTGCATGTTATTTTTAAAGTACTGCAACAACAACAGGGGGAAAGTAGGTATCCTGCATAGACACTAGTACTCCAATGGAACCTTTGTTAATGAATTCAAGTATTCCAAAAAGTTTATCATCAACTCTTAACAATAACCCTAAATGGGTAAAAATAATACCTCTACCTATATTCATAAGTTTAATACTTTCTCAGAGTTGTTCATGGAGATCATGCTTTAGCATGACATGTTTTTGCTGTATTTAAATTGATCAAACTATCCTTCAAAAGTCAACAGTTGAAGATTTGAGTGTCCAAGTTGTCAGTTATAAAAGAAGGAGTTCTTTTATCCAATTTCCCCTTCAAAAAATGAATAACAAATTCATTGATTCCACCAATGAAAAAATAAAACAGTTTATAAAAACAACTTAAGGCACTGAAAATTAGTCACGTTCATAAACGAACGCATCTAGTAAGATACAATGCACTTGTGTTAGTTTAGGAATAATGATGAGGGTTCATTTGATGAGTGAAACCTAACCCTTGGTTATGATCTAGTACCTAACACACAATGTGTACTAAAGGGAGATAAGTCACAGCAAACTCAATGATTGTCTAGGCAGTATCTTGGTCTATTGTAAAGTATATACAAAAAAATCAGTTTTTATATAAAATGTCATGTTTTTATATCACAGGTTACACTGCTCACAACGCGTGTGTGACAGGTTGCCGACTATTACTGTGTAACTCTGCAGTAATAGGGCATAAACCAACAGGAATCCACACTTCACCCACACAAGCACCAGGTTAAACTGTGGGCACTAACCTAAACATCAGTCACGGAGATGAATCATAGCCAATAACAAATCACATTCAAATGACAGATGTTTGCTGTACCTAGCATCCAACAATACATTCAGGTTTCGGACACGTATCTATCAATCTAATCTTACTCTAAAAAAAATCAAGTTACATCTCATATAATTACACTGTATTACCAAACATAAAATAATGACTTATGATACTAAAATTACAGATTTAATAATCACATGTATTAAAAGGAATATGCACATGTTTTATATAAAAGAATCTGTTAATAAAACATGAATGAGTTGTAGTGACTATAATTCATCCCCGACATAGCACTTAACATGTCTGACAGCGTGTGTGCGATTCCTTGGTCATCTGTAGTCATCAAACATAACTGAAATACAATGTACGTCTCAAATGTCCATACATTATCACCCAACAAAATATTCCTCATAAGGCAGTTGATCGTGTAAACAAACATCCTTCAATCTTGTCTTTTGTAGTTCACACATCAATGAATCACATTTTCCAGCTTCAGCAGCTGTTTTCTCCACAGGTATTTCCCCAGTTCTGTGGTTCTGTGTGAGTCTCTGTCTCACAATAAAAATATGTACTGTCGCTTGAATTCTTCTCCCATTTTGAATTTTCATCTCTTCCTTTGATAATTGGCACAGGTGAAATTGAACAATGTGAAATAATGGAGACTATCCCGTGAAGACTAACAAACATAACAACTCTATCAGCGTGACATCTATCACAGATTGATAATGAGACAAACTTGTGTGTCATGTAAAAATAGCTAATGATGAGGATCAATGACGTTTCTTATAAATAAACACTAATTATAATAGTTCTAATAAAAATAATAAGTTGAACAAATAACTTTATACTGAACACAATATGAACATTGCCTGCATGGCAAGTACGGGGTTTACCACGCAGGTTTTGATGGTTTTATACTTTTGAAGAAGTCAAATATTGACATTCTGTCTTGTGAGGGGCCAGGCTGTTCAGCCCTCTGTGCTGCCCGCCCACCCTGGTCACTGAGGGGGCGGGACGTCCTTGGCGTTGCCTTGCCCTGAACTACTGGTTTTGTAGGTGGTGTTTTGGCTGTTCCTTCTGACTTGGCAGTCAGACGAGGTTGTGTTGGAATTCTCTTGGGTATTCTGGTTGTACGAGTGTTAGGGGTAGGAGGAGGCTTTTTCTTTGTCCAATTGAGGAGTCCATCATTTTCTTTCTCCATGTTACTGATGCGGTTCTGCCATTTCCATTCATCAACCTCCTTTTGACATTTCTTGATGAGATCTTCTTCAACACCATCAAGGTGGGTTACCTTAAAAGATATAAAAATATAATCTTACTTCAGAATTATATTTAACAAAAGTACATTAAAATTCCTGATAATCTCATCACTGAATATCTTCTTTCAACACAAGTCAAAAAGGATCTGAAAACATAATAAGAATTCAAAATTTGATGTACTATTCATTTTCACTTTATAATTATAATTTATTACAGAGGATCTCAAGTGAGTTCCCAGTGACAGTTGCCTGAGAGTCATATACCACTTACTCTATCCATAGTGCGCAGGACGTCCTGCCAGGTGGATGACAGGCGAGCTGCAGCATTGGCTGACCCTCCTGTCGACAGCATACTTAGACCATCAGAACTGACTGATGCCTCGCCGAACGATCTGGTGGAACTACTCGATGTACACCTGCTGGACACAGACGGAAGGCCAGGGAACCGCACAGCACGGAACTCCTACAATACAAGGCAATAAGTGAAAGACTTTCCTATAATACAATGTTTGGGTATATGGAAGTTCTGAGGGAACCAAACCTAAAGAGGCACTGTGAATTGCACCACATGCAACTTCTGCAGCACAAAGTAACAAACTGATTTCTTGTACAATATAAGGATATAGAGAACCACATGGATTATAACTTGCAACAACAAATATAGAAATATATTTACAGTCTACATCGACATTCAATCAATACCGTAGCCATAATTGTTTCCGCAAACTGGAGTTATCATCTCATAATCTAACCATAGAACATGACAGTTTTTATGACATCAACAACAGTACAAGTAGGCAGAGCTATGCAAATTGTATGTGAATGAGACACAATTGCTTGATGTCATCAACAGCAGGTGTGGACGGCTTATACAAATTTCAAGTTGTAACATTCACTGAACTTTCTCATGTTTATTGTCTGCTGATAAGACTAATGAATGAAATAGTTGTAAACAATTCACAGAAAAATACTGAAAATATCAATAAGAATTTTGTATTTTGGTCAGGTTATGAGGAGATAACTCCAGCTTGGCCTTTTACCATCTATTCTACTAGAATTATCACCTTATAACCTGACCAAGATAGAAAGCTATGCCTTAAATACCAACAACAGAACTATCATGATGGATAAATATAAAATGTAAAAGATGGCATTACTCTGCTGTTGCTTTTAGACTTAGATTCTCCACAGCCCTGTTTATTTACACTAGCAGGTATCACATGGTTTACTTACCGGCTTAGGTTTGGTGATCCCCGCCCACATCTTGAACCTTTTCATGGTGAAGTCTATCATTTCATGATCTTGCATGTCGAGTGTGGACTTGAAGAACATTTGTGAGCGCAACGTTTTGTACGTATCTGACAAGATGGCCACAACCAAGCAAACCGTCAGGCCGTACACGAAGATATAGAAGGAGAAGAAGAAGAAGTGGGTGAAAACTCGACTATGCTCAAACAGCAACCAGAAATCAAACGTGCCTCGAATAGCTCCAAGTAGTGTTGTCAGTGTGTTCCAGTAACTCTCAAATCCTCCCACATACGGTCCAAACCACTGCAATGTACATACAATTCTTTCATAACAAACATTAAAACAAAACAAAAACTTCCTATTTCATTTTCATTTACAAGATGTCACCAACCAATAATGAAATTGATTATCCAGCTGATAATATTCCAGTTATGTATTTATTTGCAGCTTTAAACTTCTCTTTCAGAAAAGTTTTTTGAAATTCATACTTCTATTAGATCAATTAATGCAGATGTATAATTTAAAAGCACAAAAGTAAAGAGATAATTTTGTCTTTACCAAGTAGGAAACCATTCCATGGTTAAGAAAGAGGATGGCAAATATGAGAGCAACACCAGAGAGTTTCCCAACCGATTCACTGAGAGTCCTCTCGTAGATGTACAGGATCTTAATGAATCTCAACTGCTTCACAATCTGAAGAAAAAGAGAAATATACATCCACTGACAACTAGAATAGATCCATGATATAAGTTCCTGATATATATTTCATATAGCAATGTGTTAACTTTCTCCCTCATAGCCTAATAACATTGAAACTTTGTATGTCCTGTCTGGAACAGTACCATACCATGATAAACATGTCTACTTTACCAGTCCGGTATGTTAGTACAATTACACGACAGCAACAGTTATGCTCTACCTTGACCATAAACAATAGGGTTGTTCCCTTACCTTGACCATAAATAATAGGGTTGTTCGCTTACCTTGACCATAAAGGATATGGTTGCTCCGCTACCTTGACCATAAACAATTTGGTTGTTCCCTTACCTTGACCATAAACAATTTGGTTATATCCCTCACCTTGACCATAAACAATATGGTTGTATCCCTCACCTTGACCATAAACGATTTGGTTGTTCCCTTACCTTGACCATAAACAATTTGGTTATATCCCTCACCTTGACCATAAACAATATGGTTGTATCCCTTACCTTAACCATAAACAATATGGTTACATCCCTTACCTTAACCATAAACGATATGGTTGTATCCCTTACCTTAACCATAAACAATATGGTTATATCCCTTACCTTAACCATAAACAATATGGTTACATCCCTTACCTTAACCATAAAC